GAAAGTAACTTCCGAATTGTATGCGTTTATTGTAGCCAGAGGATTTTTCTGTACAGTATTCTGCGCTTGACCACGTTCGGACTCGATTAGCGTCGCCAAGACATCGACACACAGATATTCCTCACTTTATTGCTTCATTTCTGAACCAAAAACAGAAAGAACTGTACAGTGATATTGCAAACCTGATGATTAGTGAACCTTCCGGGTAAAGCCGTGCATTCTTATTCCGAATTTTTATTTGATGACATGTATCCGTTTCAAGTTAAGATAGAGTTCATATTTGAACTAGTCCAATCGTGCAACTGTTTCACACTGTTTGTTTCCGATTTTACGCTAATCTGTTCATCATAATAGTCACTGTATCTCTTCTGAGAAAAGTAAAAGTAATTGTTTTTATCTTAGTGGTGATTACTTACTGTTTTCTTCTCGTTCTGGACGCTTTAATCGGTCAGTTGGACGTATTTCACTTCGATTTGTGCAGACTGTCTCTTGCAACGTATTTCCTTTTGGGTCAAGCAAAGTATTTTTTTAACCGTCTTTTCCATTCAGTCGCCACTCTTTGCGGTCTTTGAAAAAAACTGACAAGCTAATCAAGAAATATATACGAATTTTATCCATAAATCATGTGATGGATTTACATCATTGTTATTATGAGTAGTCTGGATGTGTCAATGACGTTCGTGAAGTTAGAACTCCGGGGTCGTTTGTGACACAGGGCCGGAACAGTTCTACAGCTGACGATATAGGTCAGCAACATAATTTACAACCTGTCACAATCATTTTCCACAATTCATTTCTCTCCAAGGTACTTCCGTTTTGTGATCTGTGCTCCAGACGAAGTTGATGATTCCCTCGGTTCACATGCATTTAGTAGAGACTTCATTTCTGCTGAACACTTGGAACCTCTGTTTTTTTATGGCAGTATCTGTTTGTGGACTATTGAATTGATTTTTGTAGTTACCGTAATTATTCAGACCAAGTTGGTTTTTTATCCATCACTATGACAAAAATGAATATACATGAAAGGTTTCTTTGGCATAACAGATTTTTCTGTGCGTCTCTCTGATGCATTGTTTACGGAAAAGTGAAGGAAATATGATGACTTGTGATTGTCTGATATCAAAACATTTCCGACTTTACACCATGGGAATGCACCGGTTGGAAGTTTGATGATTGTGCTCTTCCACCTGCTAAGATCACCACACTGATTCACGATTTCGGTCGAAGTGAGGGATAACACTCATAACCACAACGATGTCTTCTCATTTCTAACATTCTGATATGTCAGAAGTGACAATAAGCTGTATGAAATCAATACTATAAAAGACTGACAGTCGGATGCATATGCTGAAATGTCACAAAACAGTAGACTTCGTGAATCTAGAAGTAACGGAAGTCAACAAGTTATTTTTCTTTTGTTGAGTTGTGTGAATTATGCGGTTGTAAATCCTAGAAATCACCCTTGACCAACATGTCTACAGCAGTATCAATAATATGGTCTCACTGCGCGATTGTCTTGCGACGTTATACACTTGGAAGTGGATGCAATCAGGGTGCGTTTGGACGAAAAGTCATTAGCAGTTTATGAGTGCCTGGAACACATTTTCATCTTTAAAGTATCAAATCTTGTTACTGCATGGTTGTATCGTTCCAGCACAAAACATCATAAGGGTACGTACGATAGAAGGTAAATAAATTTTGGTGATTATTCGGCGACACTTCATGGTCAAATATCGGATGAGGACTGAATGCGTCTGGTAATCTCCAACCCATTTTTCATTTTTCTGCTTGAAATGATTTGGACAGTTAAGACACGCTCTCTCGCTTTACGTTGTTCCTCGTGGGAGACAGCGATTAGAGTATTTATCGAGGTAGTCACTTCGTGATGTAACGAAAGACTCAAAAACCTCAACCAGTATTCCTAACAATGAATGAATGGCTTGTTACATTCCAAGGTTTGGTTTCGCACTAGGTGACATTGCAAAGTGCCGCAGTCATTAGCAAACTAAGATTTGAACCCTTTCGTCGTTTACGTGGATTTTCATACCTTATTTAGCTTCATCTTTCGTCCTATGTGCTCTGATGAGACCCAGTTTTGACTGTCAGGTAACAACCCAAACCAGAACACTGGAGTGCGAGGCTATTAAAAAAATGAACTGAGTTTTCTGTTGCACCATGTGAACTCAATTGTGCACTGTACTGCTCGGGTCTAATGGGACACTGTAATGGTCATTTAACTGGTCAAGATAAATTGTTTGCTTGGAACTGTGTTGTCCTAAAACTTCACCGGATAGATTTCCTCTTCTACGATTGATGTCCATTTGAGTAGAAATTTCACCTTCCATAGATCTGCATTCGTAATTGAATTAAAGCTAATGATGCAGTAAGGCCATTTTTCCCTTTCGAGATATAATCAAGACGAACTGTTTGGTTAAGTACAAGTCATTTGATGTGCATTCTTTCCTCTTTATTTCAATTATCTTATTGTTGATTGATTGATCTTCTCAATGGTTGGTTAGATCGTTCAGTCATTGAGAAAAACCATTGGTAATTAGTAACTCACTTGGTCAATCAAATAATTAGGGTATACTGTGATCCATATGCAGAAAGTCGAAGGTTCTCCGGCGTGGCCTCGTAGCTCAGCTGGTAGAGCACTCGCGGTACTAAAGCGAGGGTGGTGACCATGCGTGGGTTCGAATCCCGCCGAGGCCAAAGACTTTTCACATTTGGATCACCTCAAAACATTATCAAAATCTGCCAACCATTAATACATTGTAAACATGCCCAATGCACTTAACTGGTGGAGTCCGGTTAGTACAAAGGGAAATCCTGCTGTAGGCATTCAAATTACAAGCTAGTTCACTGTGGTGGATGCCATGTGCTACTGTAATTTGGGCGGGTATACTGTGATCCATATGCAGAAAGTCGAAGGTTCTCCGGCGTGGCCTCGTAGCTCAGCTGGTAGAGCACTCGCGGTACTAAAGCGAGGGTGGTGACCATGCGTGGGTTCGAATCCCGCCGAGGCCAAAGACTTTTCACATTTGGATCACCTCAAAACATTATCAAAATCTGCCAACCATTAATACATTGTAAACATGCCCAATGCACTTAACTGGTGGAGTCCGGTTAGTACAAAGGGAAATCCTGCTGTAGGCAGTCAAATTACAAGCTAGTTCACTGTGGTGGATGCCATGTGCTACTGTAATTTGGGCGGGTATACTGTGATCCATATGCAGAAAGTCGAAGGTTCTCCGGCGTGGCCTCGTAGCTCAGCTGGTAGAGCACTCGCGGTACTAAAGCGAGGGTGGTGACCATGCGTGGGTTCGAATCCCGCCGAGGCCAAAGACTTTTCACATTTGGATCACCTCAAAACATTATCAAAATCTGCCAACCATTAATACATTGTAAACATGCCCAATGCACTTAACTGGTGGAGTCCGGTTAGTACAAAGGGAAATCCTGCTGTAGGCAGTCAAATTACAAGCTAGTTCACTGTGGTGGATGCCATGTGCTACTGTAATTTGGGCGGGTATACTGTGATCCATATGCAGAAAGTCGAAGGTTCTCCGGCGTGGCCTCGTAGCTCAGCTGGTAGAGCACTCGCGGTACTAAAGCGAGGGTGGTGACCATGCGTGGGTTCGAATCCCGCCGAGGCCAAAGACTTTTCACATTTGGATCACCTCAAAACATTATCAAAATCTGCCAACCATTAATACATTGTAAACATGCCCAATGCACTTAACTGGTGGAGTCCGGTTAGTACAAAGGGAAATCCTGCTGTAGGCATTCAAATTACAAGCTAGTTCACTGTGGTGGATGCCATGTGCTACTGTAATTTGGGCGGGTATACTGTGATCCATATGCAGAAAGTCGAAGGTTCTCCGGCGTGGCCTCGTAGCTCAGCTGGTAGAGCACTCGCGGTACTAAAGCGAGGGTGGTGACCATGCGTGGGTTCGAATCCCGCCGAGGCCAAAGACTTTTCACATTTGGATCACCTCAAAACATTATCAAAATCTGCCAACCATTAATACATTGTAAACATGCCCAATGCACTTAACTGGTGGAGTCCGGTTAGTACAAAGGGAAATCCTGCTGTAGGCAGTCAAATTACAAGCTAGTTCACTGTGGTGGATGCCATGTGCTACTGTAATTTGGGCGGGTATACTGTGATCCATATGCAGAAAGTCGAAGGTTCTCCGGCGTGGCCTCGTAGCTCAGCTGGTAGAGCACTCGCGGTACTAAAGCGAGGGTGGTGACCATGCGTGGGTTCGAATCCCGCCGAGGCCAAAGACTTTTCACATTTGGATCACCTCAAAACATTATCAAAATCTGCCAACCATTAATACATTGTAAACATGCCCAATGCACTTAACTGGTGGAGTCCGGTTAGTACAAAGGGAAATCCTGCTGTAGGCAGTCAAATTACAAGCTAGTTCACTGTGGTGGATGCCATGTGCTACTGTAATTTGGGCGGGTATACTGTGATCCATATGCAGAAAGTCGAAGGTTCTCCGGCGTGGCCTCGTAGCTCAGCTGGTAGAGCACTCGCGGTACTAAAGCGAGGGTGGTGACCATGCGTGGGTTCGAATCCCGCCGAGGCCAAAGACTTTTCACATTTGGATCACCTCAAAACATTATCAAAATCTGCCAACCATTAATACATTGTAAACATGCCCAATGCACTTAACTGGTGGAGTCCGGTTAGTACAAAGGGAAATCCTGCTGTAGGCATTCAAATTACAAGCTAGTTCACTGTGGTGGATGCCATGTGCTACTGTAATTTGGGCGGGTATACTGTGATCCATATGCAGAAAGTCGAAGGTTCTCCGGCGTGGCCTCGTAGCTCAGCTGGTAGAGCACTCGCGGTACTAAAGCGAGGGTGGTGACCATGCGTGGGTTCGAATCCCGCCGAGGCCAAAGACTTTTCACATTTGGATCACCTCAAAAAATTAGAAAACCGTTTTTCTTTAAATGATACCGTCTCCGTTTTCATTGTGCAGGTTCATGTATTTGGCTTTTAGTGGCCACATTCCTCCGACTACCTGTATCTGGTACGCACAGTATCGTTGGAGCCACTGTGGGTTTCAGTCTAGTCATTTTTGGAGTAAAAGCTATTCAATGGATGGGTCTGGTCCGAATCGGTAAGTTTCTTTTCCGTCGTTCTCTCCTATCTTGTTTATTTAAATTTCATTTGGCTTTGTAGTCTATCAATTTCTCGTGATAGTCATCTTCTTTATTCAGTTTATCATTTTCATCATCACCATCCGTCCTATTTGAAATAAGGATACGAAATTAGCTTTACGCAGATTTTGGCGGTAGATAGTACATCACTGTCCCCCGGATTGTTTTCATACTTGATCCATTGTGGTCTTGCGTGGTTCCCTATTTTACTGACTAAGGTCACGGTAGCCGGTTTTACCTGATAATACAGTGGGATTTTGTGGGTGTGGGTATACACCATCCACTGTAGTAGTGCTTACGCATGGATTGTAAAAACAACACTATTATTACAAACAAACGATACAATGCAAGCATTTCGGCAAAAAATACGAAAAAATCATGATACCTTCAGCAGCTCACTTCGGAGCAAAAGAAGTTCAATGATTCATGTAAATTCGATAATTTTTGAAATGTAGGTGTATATGTATATCCACTACCAATGATGTCGTGTTTCTAAAAGTGATTTGGTGTCATCATTATATTGATTGTTATTATGACACGAAGGGTATTGCTGGGGTGAACCCTATGGCCGTAAGAAATACGGTAAAAAGTCTCTTGGGAAACCGTTACGGTAAAACAAGTCTATTGATCCCATATTTGAGAGGAGTCAGAGAATAGGTGGATGTTCAAATGGAAAAAGAAGAGAAGTTTTGAGGTCTACATATGCTGGAGAAGAAAGGGCATATATGAAGTGGGTCTACCATCTGCAGACAGACCAGATTATTGTGAAATACAACTGGGGTACAGAACGGGCAAGCTCAGAGGAATCTAGGCCCAAGTAGTACCGACAGAACAAATACAGTAAAATGAATGTCAGGCATTCATTAAAAGACCGCAACTTAGAAATTAGTATTGGTTGTAAACGAGATAGGTAACCTTGCTCTGAACTTGTTCGGGAAAAGATAGAAAAGAGTGCAAAGCTCCATTTATCAGGTTACTACAGTGTGAAGTGAATTTGAGCCTTGTACAGTAGGAAAAGGCGGGAACATGTATTGGACATGGTATAGAAAGCCAATCGTACTTGCTATTGCTGAGTCAAGTGATAAAATGTTGGAAGATCAACTAAATTCCAGAAGACATCATCATTCTCGGGGAGAGATAGGTATGAAACCCTATCATCTGGTGCAGAGATGGGAATTGATATTCACAGTACAAGTGTCAAAGAAAAACTGAATTTGGCTTGTTCTTGGCAGTCGGCCCGAATCAGTCAAAGGCTTTTGAGATGTTGAGGCATATCAAGTAAGCTTCTCCGTGTTTATTGAAAGTAGCTTACCGGTAATGGGAGGCAAATGCCATTGGGTCATTAGTAGACCGACGAATCCAGAAGCCAAGCTGGCGATCGCTCGACTGCTCGTTGAGTTGAAGGAACGAACGCCGTTTTCGTAAATTTCAAAATACCAGATGTGATAACAATAGGATTGCAGTTAGTGGGGTAAGAGGAGTCGCTGTTTGGGATGGGGAAGATTTAAAAAATATCAAACATGGAGGATTTGGCTCAAAAGAAGGCTAACTTCTGGAGTTGCTCCTAAAAACGGTGAGTTTGATATCACTCGGAACAGGCGTTTTGGGTGGCCCAAGTGACTTTAGAATCTGTAATAACTTTCTAGTAGTGATGAAAAAAAAATGCAAGGTTTGATAAGATTTGGAAATTGGAGACGGAACAATCGAGACACTTGGTAAAGTGGAGTTGGAGCGAGCCATGAAACGTTTTCTGTTGAGGTTCTAGAAACAACACCAGAGAAATAACTGACAGGAAGCAAACTAGGAGGGACAGCAATTTCTCAAAATTGCTTCGGTGAGAGATCCTAACGTCCTGATGAATGAAACTGTCGGACAAACAAGGATCTGTTTCTGGCGCCGACGAGATCGATAGCTGGGAGTGAAGTGGAACGCTGTCTTTTTATTTACAAGTTACGGCTGCACATGTTCACGAACCACTCCGGGAATAGCGGTTTTCTGGGTTTGAAAATGTAAATGTTTCACTTCTCGGAGGACTCGGTGCAGTTTCATACTCATGTGAATCGACACCGATATCAAGAATGAGAAGCCGGAAAATTGGTCCCGGTTAGAGACGAGAAGAGAGTTGACGTATGCGAATAGCCACTTGTACGGCCAATAGGTGGGTCAACTACTTGAGTAAGATTGTTTCTCAGAGCGAAATCTCTGACTTCATGTTCCAAAGTCAGTGTGGGCAGAATGCGAAACGCTCTCCTTTTTATGTACGTTAAGATCTCCGAGAATATTGATTTGGAAGTTTGGGTCAATTAAAACCAGTGATCAAAAGTTGAGGGCAGAACTTCTCTCTCACTCTCGGCTGTGGATTACGAGGTCGATTTCTTTCCACGTATGCGAATAACGCTTATTTGTTCACAATGCAACAGCGATCAAGGTTTTCTGTTTTGGATCAAAATGGAAGTGATCATACTCCACCATGAATTGCTTCAACCGTTCGACTCACTGATAAGCACCTGCCATTTATCACAGTAGCGCGCTTTCAGGGCACCTCACTTCCGAGCGTACTAGTTTTGTGACTTTGAGGTCAATCTGATGATCTTCGATACAGTGAACAATGTTTGATATTTCCGGTGAAAACCAATGTCATAAATGGTGTCTTAGGACTTGACTAATGAGTGATAGATTTGCCCACTGTCATCTTACTGTTTCTTTTATCCTGAAAAGCTTATCTAGATTGAAATGTGGTTCTATGGGAAAGAACTGCGGTAAAATGCGGTACCGTACAGTTTCTTAATCATCGTTACTCGTTCGAAAACCACGTGGAGACTGAATAACATTGCTACTGCGGACGCTTAGACTGACAATTAGTCGTTGGTCATAATTTGAATCCGCTAAGATAGCACTATCTTTTTAGTACGTTTACTTTCAACTTTTTAAGCTGTTGCTGCACGGACTGATGTAGAAGAATCGCAGGAATGGGGTCCTAAATGACCGCTTATTTGCCTTTCGGGACTGGACTTTAGCCTGCTGTTCGGGGGGTATACCTCTAGCCCACACATATCCTAGTGCGAACTGTTATTTAACAGCGGGTGACCACCGGGACGGTTCTTACGCCCTTCGCAGCGTGATGTACCCATCCGTTACGCGGAATCCGTCCATGAAGGTGACTTACTGGGTCTTGCATGGGCGAGTCGAGAAGCAGTGATCCTATCTGAGGCGGATCATCTTACGTTTCGTGATAATATTCGATGACTTTGTTTGGAGAGTTAGGTTTTCTGCTAACAGCTCACGCTGTTCCCTGAAAAGGGCTACTGATTATCTCCCATCGCTCCTCATTCGAACACAGTCAACCACGAGTTTGGTTGCTTTCCTGCTCGTAACCCATAGTTGTGCTGGCAGTATTACACTGTGCTCTCCACAACCATTCCAATGGTTGCGGTTCCTTCTAAAACGTGGCTTAAGTTTATTCCTCTGGGTATCCGCTGTTGATTGCCATCGTTCTCGCTGCATTTATGGCGGAAAGCTGTTCCACATGATCGATCAATGTGTCATCAGTCCTTTTTCAACACCGCGCTCCGGCCTCGTTTCATAATTCCATGTGGTCTTTTGTTGACCGGCAGCGTATAGTGTTTGAATTGTGAATTGAATGCGATACACTTACTTTAAGGTAGATAGCCTTGTGACCCGGTACAAAGCTACCGCTCATATTGTGACTCAGAGTCAATACAACATTCTAAAAACAGCGTTGGAATCCTGGGACTAACAGACCAACTTTTTCACGATCTAGTTGAGCCACTGTCACTACTTGTCGGATACCAGCCAGAGATATTTAATTCAGTCGAGGAATGACGAACGAAATCCTGCAACATCGTGGGCGTGATTCATTCCATTTTATTTTTGGATTCTGCGACAGAAGTAGAAATCTGCATAGTTTGTTTGCTATACGCACTATGATCAGGAAGTAAAAATCGAGCTAATTTCTGTGCAGTCGGGAACGGTGAACAGAAGCTTTTTAATACATGGATGTGGTTTGAAATTGACTTACTTGTCAAGAGCCGAAAAAATTGTGTTGTTGGAGCAGTTCATTTTTACTGCTTATATCCTTGCTTCACAGGTATGTTTCAGGGCATAATGGGACTTAAATTCGTTTTTTTCTCATGATCACTTGTATTTTTTTCATCGCATTTGTTGCCAACATCCGACTGCATAATGTTCTCCGTCCCCCCCCCCTCTCCACATTTTCTACCGTACTTTCTTCCCGCAAGTTCGATTATTACCATAAATAAAATGATAATTTTATTTCCCGATCATCCTGTTTTTTCCACCCATTGTCAGTGGCTTCTTGGTTCATTTCGCCTGTACTCAGTGGTCTGATCTCGGTGGGGATTTTCTACATCATTCATTTTCTCGTACTCACCAAAGTAAGCCGAAATTTGAGCCATATATCTCCCTGATTTCATTACTTTCACTCTTTGGCTGTAAAATACACCCGCAATGTCAAGGCCGCTCATGCGATTCGAAGGTTGCGTGCGTGGTTTGAACTTCGGCTTGAGGTTTCTAGCGCTAAATCCTTCCGAATTTTGAAGCTGGACGAAACCTTGACGTAGCATGCGCTCGCACAACCCTACCGGCGCAAGCAATCAATTGTGTCAAGTGCACAACAACAGTATGCAAATAATCTGCCAAAATCACTACCGAGGGAGATGTGCTCCACTTGGTGGTGGTGTTGCTTTTTTGGCCCGCATTCGTTCGATTTTTTCGCATAAATGGAATAGCGTTACGTTGTTATGAAGTTGCTTAACGCACACTGTTCGGGAGTTTTATGTCATGTGTAGGATGCTGATTGCCCGTTTTATTCCTCAGTGTACGACAAAGACGGGTAGGTTCGATTAATCAGATTCTCACATACAATCCCACAAACGACAGGCCATTACTTGTAGAAATAATTTCAAGTTATCAAATCAGTTCATCCAAGTGCTCAATTTTATTGGGATGGGCATCTCCTATCTAACGTTTGTATTTTGATCAACCTATAGCTCTATCCTCCTGATTGAAGTAGAATGAAAGGTTTGAGTAGTGAGAATTCAAATTCTCTCCGTCGAAGTTTGCAAAATAGGATACTTTCTTATTTTTAGTGTAGACTTAAATGTTCACCACTTTTCGCAAGCACAGTTTATCTAAACTCACAACCTTGAAAAATGTTAAATGTTACACTCATGCCTCATGACCCTGCTGAGGCCCATAAAACGTCATATTTCAGTGTGTAGTTGTTTGGAACACCAGCACCAGAGATTCATTGCTGCGCGTTGTCTGGACCGTAGCGAGAAAAACAGACCTGACTCCGTTTGTTCGAATATCTTCATAGCTTGGTAATTCTGGTTTTTAGCATTCCGTTGTTGCTCGCCTCTTTACCAGGCCCGTCCTATTGGGAACTTCTGTGGTTCACCGCCCCAGGTCCCAGGATCAAGGTGGATGGCTCCTCTATAGCTGTCACTATTGATAAGGGATGCGTTTGCGTTCACAAAGTTCTGTATCAACTTGCTACTGATATTTATAGTTCCCTTATGACTCTTTTCATACTCTTGTTATTCCATTATTTCCGATTTCGATTGCCGCTGAGAGAAAGCAACTAAAGACATTGCACCCAGTACATGGTCAATGGTTTTTCAAACTGAAGTGAACTCTACCAACAACAGAGTAAGAAGATAGAGGAAGAGGATGATATACGAACGCTGTTGATTGTTTTGAATTTCAGCGCTTTTGGCTTCGCGGTATGCGGTGAAGGTGCGACTTTACAGGGAGTTCACTAGGAAAATGGGATCTGGTTTTGGTATAGGCTGCAGGAAACACATAATTTGACCTACGCCAGTTGACCCGGACCTTCGCATATGTTTACACTAGAGGGGTAGAAAATTAGTTTCCTATCATTGTTTATCCCTGGTACCATCCAAGATGAGATTGGTTTGAATGGTGACAGTTTTTTGTGTGTAAGGTTTTCGATTGGGCCGATCATAAACACTCGACTTATATATATATATATATATATATATATATATATATATATAATATTGACAGTAAGTAGTGTGTTAACGGGCAGACAAAATTTCTCAGTTGTCGAGGTGGTTTATTTACACCTAAACCGGTTCGATCTTTAGCAATACCGAGCTATCGTCGAAGAGCACGTGTATGCAAGTATATTAAAAATGAACGTTTTCTGCGGTTGTTAACACTTGTGATATGGTAAAGCAGTTGGAATCTACACAATTTGGAATGAATATTCTAAATGCACACATGTATCTCCGCTTCTAATTTGGAATTCTGTCCAGTGTATATGTTGTTCATCGGAATGTTGTAAAGGTCATTTCAGCGATCATGAGCAAGGCTAGGGTGACAATCCTTGAGAACCAATGTCACTGTTGTAGCTGCATTTGCATACCACACATACTTACGCGCGCGTACCTTCCAGTGTTATATGCGAGATTCGTTTCGCAGGCCAGCAAGCAAGTAAGCTGCTGTACGTCGATCCAAGGATGATAAACAGTAATTTTTCTCGCAAGGTTGCTTCGCCTTCATGGTACTGTGCCTCTTACCTTTTCATTCTGTCTGATTTTGACCAAGCAACTTGGTTGGCGACATTTCAATTAGCATACTTAGCCTTCCTTGCCCCCAGTTTATTTCCTCCTTTTTGTCTCCGTACATGGAAGCATTTCACTGATCCGAAATTAGGTGTGATGGAATTTGTTCAGATCCGTTTTCTTGTGTATAACATTTCACCCTTAATACTCACCCCTCAAACTCACGGTGTTTATGTGTGCCTAACGTTCATGGTACATTAGCTTCGCTCCATTTCATGAACTAAACGGATTATCATTGTACGAGTTTTGTGTTTACCTGAACTCAAGCTGAAGTCGATCACAATTTTTGTTTGACCGGCGGAAAGTATCTGAAACGTACCATAGGTGAAAATGCGTTTTCGTTTATTTTCTCTGTGCTGTTAAAACGCGTACAATACATACTGCACTGTTATGATATTTTACGTTGTATTCCACTTTATAACTGTTGAAACTTTAGAAAATAGCGTCGCTTAATTTGTTTGGTTGACTTTTTGTTTTGCTTTCGCATAATGTACGTGCCCTAATCTTTATCAAAACCAAACATTCAAGGAGTAATTAGGCAGTTTCTGGAATCATCACTGCATGGTCATCATTTATTTGAAACAAAGGTTCACGTGAAGGTTTAACTTGAGGCACAAGAATAGAAAAGACTTACTAACGTCGCCAGAATACAAATTAAAACCGAAGAAATCATGCAAATAACGTGTTTACAAAGAAAAACAGGATTGATACTGTTTTCATGGGTTCATTATCGTTGAGCTTGGTATTTGGGTCTCAGGGGCTACAGAATAGCGCAAATCCTGTTTTAAACTGCCCAAACACAATCTCTTATCAGGGTATGCAAAGAAAGTATCGCATGTTTGATTTGAATCATAAGACGCACGCCGGCGAACCGTGTGCACAAGTGTACGATTGTACGTAACATCTGGCGCCGTTGTTTATTTTGTCCAACTAATTGGAATTTCTCAACGCTCTGCAATGAACTTCACCTGTCAAGCGGTGTGTACCTCTCTTGTTACAGACCGACTAGTCCTTCTGTTTTCCACCGAATACGCTTCGGCGAGCAAGAATATCCGATAGTGCCTACTTCTGAAATTAAGCGCTCGGTCTAATGAATTCGTGGAACTGACAAATCCTCCGTTTCTTTCCGCAGCGAGTTACTGCTATGACTGTCCTGTCGGACGTACCCAGTAGTTTCACGTCACGAGTGCTCATACACAGGCGGCCTTCGTGCATTTCTCTAACATATGCAGACCCGGTTTTCGAGCTGTCACTGACGGGCCACAGGTTATCATCACATCAGTGCTTGTGATAATTGTTTACATCCAACCTGAATGCACTCGTCATATCAGTATCGAAATAGTGGTTGTGGATATTTGGGCGTCAGAACTTGTCTCATTCCTGATATCTCCTAGGTATGGAAAGTTCACACTGATTCGAATGGGAGTACTGTACTATTTGTCACCGATGGCAAACGACGTAACTGCGAGCTCCATGTAGAACGTTGCATCCTTGATTCTTTCATTAGTCTATGTTCAGCTTTCACTGACCTGATTCAGCCAATATCCGGCATGAAAGCCAGTGATTTCAGCTTAATGCAAACAGAAATGTCGTACAGTTGATCATTTTTTTGTATTCTGAGTTTTGGCAAATAGAGCGATCAATTTCCGTCACAAATGGGCACTCCCAGTTGACTGACAATGATCCAGAACGGTTGTTGGACCTGGTTACTAAAATATTCGTTAAGAACCACCCCAAATACTGAAATAAATTCTTCGGTATCTGGTCAGGGTGATTTGAATCGCTAGCCGTCCGGATCGCAATTACTCAGGGCAGTCTAAATGAAGGCTACCTCCTGAGGTTTATTTCTATGTGCTGAAATTTTGGTACACAATTGTGAACAATTTTATAAATACGAGTTTCAAATGATCACAAGAGACGAATTCCTGTTTGAGTTCTATGCAACTCATAATCAAATAGTTAGCACTTATAGGACCCATGACTTTATGACGCGTTCGGTTTCATTGCTATATTTGCACTGCTTATTTTCCTGGTAAGTTTACTTGCAATCTTCTCTCAATATGTCCGAACTCCGTAGTAGTTTATCTTTGGATTGGTCTGAGCTGAAAAACCGAATAAGGCACGCTTCTTGTCTAATCTGTAAACGATACCACAATCGCCGAACACAAGCGCATTCCGCACGAAAACGTATGATTTTTTACTTGGTCTAACAGATACCTTGGAAATTCGCGTAGTTCAAACTGCTTCAGTCACCGAATCGAATCTCACACCCCAATTTTTTTGACTTCCAACTACTCATGGTCATACAGAATGGATTTCGAACACCAGCCTCTTATATTGCGTGCAATAAACAGCTCCCTAAAAGGTAGAAAGCACACAAACAATCACAAAGAACACATTCTTCAGGCGAGGTGAAGCTGTACGCTGATTGATTCATTGTGGATGTTTGCTTACGCGCATGCACCAAGACAGTTGTGTTAGACAGTGATTTGCACTATTCCGTGATACCGACGAACTTTGCCCACACGCACGCACATACCAGTGGCTAGCAAAAAAATCGCTTTGTACGTGCACTTATTTGACAAAACATGGATGTAGCGTACCGTGACTCATTTGTCCGATCAGACCGTGAGATTACGGATCAAACCACCATACATAATCATTAAGGTACTCTTTCTGTGTATTTCCCTCATTCAAGAAGTGGTCGTAGACAGGGTGTAGTGGAATTATTACAACCAGTAAAAAAATTTTTTATTGGCTGAAGGGCGCTGATCGTCTTATAGGAAGCTCATGGAGTGGAAAATCCTCGCAAAACTACCTTTTCCCTAATAACCTCAAGTATACTGATATTGGGATTTATTTCTAGTTAAAAAAAATGTGGTCGAACTTCCATCATCTCTTCAGTATAACCATTTTGAATTTCTCTAGGAATTAATTGAAAATTCTGACTCCCTTCTTCGATTACATTTAGTGGTGCCGTGAGCTTTTACTCTGAATTCTTATTGATCTCATGCGGCATTTAGGAAATCTGGTTGTTCACACTGGAATCAGTGTTTGATTGAGCTCATCGTTCCTCGTGTTGTGGTGTAAACTGGAGGTGTGCATGGTTTCTGGCAATTGCCTCCTGAGCGAGACAGTTTGTCGAACAAATGTCGCGTACAAGGATACGCAGTTTTCATAGGTAATGCCTCCGATCAGTACCTTCACGAAGAGAGACTTTGTTGCTCGTGCAGTACTGATGACTTCTGACGAGAAAGTGGCATAAGTACACTGCGTGTCGAATTCTTCCCTAATAGTTCATTGGTACTACTTGAAACTCAGTGTAATTGTTATTGTTTTGGGACAAATGTTCTTGGCATTTTGGTTTTAGTTGGTACTAACTCGGTATGAATACGTCTACCTGAACAGTGTGAAATATGGTCATTTGCCATTATCCGTTACCTCATTCTCATTCTTTTCCGTTCCTCACTTATGCTTTCGTTGGTTCCCAATTCAGGAAGAATCGTACGAGCCTGGACTTCGAGTTCTCCCAGGTTTCTACGGCGCGGTTGTGTTTGTCAATGCATTTTCAATTGTGTACGGAGCACCCCCAAGTAAGTTCTCGCCTCTAATTCTCCGCTCATCCGCACACGCTGGTTTTGGTATGGTCCAGGATGAAATGATCTGGAACATGAGGCCATACGGTGGCCGAATATGAATCTTTTTTATTTCAGTGACGGTTCTGTCTTGAACGACCAAACTTCTTGAATATGTCAGTCAACCTCGTTGTACGGGTTACTACTGAATTAACGCAAAACCTCAACTGTTTTTGTGTGACTGAACTGCAGTTCATTGGTGATTACGTCGGTAACTGTCAATCAAAGATTGCTATTTAGTTCATCTGTGAGTTCACACGTCGAGCATGGGCACCGGTAACTCTTCAAATAGTTGAATAATTCGTGTGTATGTGTATTGTTTGTTGTTGGCAACAAATAAACAACTGATAGTGTTCAGCTTACTCTAATATAAGAGAAAACGGTTGCATGAAGCACCCACTACAGATGCGTTCTGTGACCAAAACTTCGACTGGCTTAAAGCTGATAGTGAATTAGCGAGTGATGATATATATTGTTTGTTCCCTTTTTTTCAAAATGCTCAGAGGTGAACGCTGATGAACAATAGAATATTCGCACTTCTCAACTGATGCAGTATCAAAGGTTTTCTTCTAACTGGAAATCAGAAAATCGTCTGCTAATGCGAAACCCTAGCGCTGTTTAATAGGTGCTATGTTTCTCGCTCTTCTGACGGCCAGATTTTCGTGTGAAATGGTGAAACACGTGTTATCATCTGACCACCATATTTTTTCGGTATATTTTAGGAATGAAGGAGGCTCGGGTTGTGAGAATGTTCTGTTTTAGTATTTCCCCAGTCTGAGTTGGGGAGGTAGGGGGTGGAGCATGAATGAAAGGAAGGCACTAGACATTTGACCGTTTGCGCCCTGGTGCATGTGTGTTTATTTGTTCGATTGTATGTATGTGCGTTCTAACCGTTATAATCCGCTTACCCAGAACCAGATCGTATAGTGCTTTTGTCGCTCGAAAACCGGCAGGACGAAATGCCCCAGCTTAAGGGGGTTGCTGTTTAAGTGCAATCTAACTGACATTGCTTTGGACATAACGGTTGCATGTTGAAATGAAGCATTGCTTCGTTTTTCGCTTACGTTCTGTCACATCAGTTTTCACTTGCCTTGCCTCGCGTTATCTCGCCTTGACTGGACAAGATTTCTTTTGTTGTCTTCGGTAATGCAAGGTATGGTTTTTATGGGATCTTTCGCTGCAAAATTGTTTGCTTAGCCACAATTCTCCGCAGTGGAGTGCTTATGTGGTGTTAACTTTTCGTTATTCGACAAAACTTATGAAGAAGTCAAGTTTCAATGCGAGAAAGAGAGCAATTTCCTGCTACGATAAAGTCCATTTTTCATGTGGTCTGTCGATTGGTAGCCACAGGCTCGGTAGCTTTGCTTGACGTTTGACCCGTAAAGACTGAAACATTTATCAGTCGAATATTATGTATCTCCCGTCCATTGAGTGACTTTTGGTGATCCACAGTATTTCCCGCAGTTTAAGTACCTTGCACCTTTCCCGGATCGTAATCAATGGCGCAAAGCTGTTGAACTACGGCTCTGTCTCTTTAACAACGGAATCGATTGAGAAAGGACGAATTATCGTTAGTATTTAGTCAACCTTGAAAATTTCGGCTACTTAAACCAAATTCAACTAGTTATTCATTAGCATAAAAGTACCCAGTGATGGCGGATTTCTTTAATAAACCAAAATATTTTTCAAGATAGTTTGCGATTTCCAGCAGCATTGAATTTAAATTTGATGTTCGGGAACAGGGACTTTTATTTGTGGGTATAATTATGTCGTAAGTGTGTTTTTGCGCTATTTTCCTGTTAAACAATACATAACACTAACAAAGTGTGTTTTTCGTAATTCCCCGCCAACCCATTCCCACTGCTCCCTTCTTTCCCGTCTTTCCCCCGATTTGTTCCTAGTGTCGTGTGAGGCGCCGGCGGTTTCGGGTCATGTCACAGCACGGCCCGCGAAACCGGTGGCGTTCGGCTTAGCACCACTCTGTCTGTCAGTCAGTCAGTCAGTCATCGAGCAGATGTGTGTGCACTGTGCTCAGTGCTCTGTGGGCATGCGAGCCACCGTGCATGTGCGCCATGCATCGGGCACCTTTCCCTCCAACGTTACCACTCCAGTCACCATTACCACACACACCTTCCACACTCATCCACATTATCATCACAGTTCAAATCAGGCTGATATGTACGATCATGCGTCCACATCCAACACAGTTGATAGTTCTACGGCAATGTGTTCCGTTGAGAGCACGCCACTGTCCATCGAAGGGGCCTTCCTTGGTCAAACAGAAAAGTCCGTTTTGCTCAGCCCGTCTCTCAGCATGTGCTTACCAAACCACGTGCCGAGGAGATGAGTGATGTTGTTACAATGAGCCTACTCATTAGCATGGTTCTCATGGTCAGACAGTCACTCACATTTCACAGTCTCAAATCACACTGTCAACATCGTCCACGATTCCGGTTTCACCGACCGCCAAATCTAGCATTTGCGCACAGGCGCACACACACATACTTCAAATCCAGGCAAGTCACCTGCGCGGTACAATTCAGTACTGTATCTCTGCCCCGCCCTTCTCTCGTTCTGTCTGTCACTCTTGGATCACTGTCTGTCTGCCTCTTTCCTTCCTTAAGACCGAAGTGGACAGGCTATTGCATATGCAATCAAACGTGTGTATTGGCCCATGTTTATCTCAACACTTATTTGCTTCTCATTCCTAACTGTGCATATTCACGCAGAGCATATTTGCAAATTTCTTTACTACTTTCAGGAAGCATCGCATGGCTTTTTTTATTTCGCTCGGTTAAATTCGACAGTTCCATGTGAAGTCTTATTTGCGGAAATTCTAAAGCTGGATCACTTAGTCAGTCAGCTCGCAATTGAACTCTAATTTTTTCATATACCAAGTTATTTATACATGCCTCCGATAAAAGATGGACCTGTTTCGAGACAAATACAGTTTCGTTTCGCATGCGTTCTACTCACTAAACTGCGAGGCAACACTAGAGGCTTCGGACGTTTCACAAATGAATCTCACGATTGTTCACTAAAACTACGGTGGCACATTTCATGCCCAAAAACTTTGATGGCCTCGTAACTGAGAGTCTAGGGAGCGCGCAGGCGTCTTGTACTGATTGATGCACGTGGGTGGCATTCACCATGAGCGTGGAGTTCTCCAGTTCTACTGAGGTCGACGGTTTTTGACTCGTTCGAAGCACATCATCAACAATGTTGATGGTTTGCGCATTATTAGATACTCACTTACATTATCCACATCCAACTGGCAGCACGGTGATTGCTCAGCTGGTATTGCATCTGCCCGGTAGACGGGAGTTCGCCGCTTCGGTTTCGCCTCGCGGCGGTAAACGTTTGGATGCAAAAAATGCAAGTGGGTTTTCCATTATCTAACATTGCTGGTCGTTTGAAGTATGTCAAACCAAATCTCATCAAACGTGCGTGATCATTTGGATTTTGAATGGCGGGCGAAAATATGTCGACTAAGTCGAATCTGCCGGACTGGTCGTTGTATCACAACTGATTTGCACAAAAATTGCAAATTCCATTGGATTGAAAAAGTGGGCTAGCCATTTATGCTTGAGTAAACCGGGTAAAACAATTTCGGTGACCTCGACTAAGAATCACAAAACGCACGCACTGAACAAGCGAAACAGGCACTTTTGATCGTACAAAATTGATCCGCTGGGACTGTTCTTGTAGCTGGGAGTCAGAAGCGGTGACCATCAACAATGCAAGCACTCATTCAAAGCTGAGTAGAAAAAACTGTGCAATGCTTTCTGAATTTTCTTCTATCTAGGCTACTTCCGCCTTCTAATGTCCGTGACACCCATAATACGAGCTTCTTTGGTCATCAGTAACGTTGAAACTATAAATCAGTCATGAGAATCCGATGATAATGTTTTGGATTGGATATTGTTTCTGTTTTCCTCGTTATTTTCCTTATATTCATAGACTCAGATGCCCTTTCTGACAAATTTGATTGCCCCGGGATGTTTCTTTGGAGATGGATTACATTTTCATGGGTACTCCCATATTCCTTTTGATTCACGTGTGATATAATAACTAGTCCTAAAGTATTCTTTAAGTGCCTACTATGGTGTTTCACCTTCATTCGGAGCTGAACCTATAACTCGATTTGACTGGTTTGCACTATAGGTGATATGCTATGGATTGATTAGTTCTCTGTGTTTTATTCTGGGAAAGTACTGAAATGGTTGTCGCAACCAATTTTAGATGGAGCAACAATGTCGATAACCAGTTATTTGATTCTGATTTGTTGGCTGGATACTACCTGGTTGCCTAAACTGAAATAGAAAACCATCTTGGGGGAATTCTCCTTTAATGGATTTCATTGATTTACACTGTCCATTCTTAGGTTCACAGTTGTTGATTGATCAGAAATTGTTTGGGACTTATGATTCCGTCGACAGATTTCACGTGCATCTGGTTACTTGGACACAAATGTTTTGTGACCCATATAACCTTCAGAATTAGTCCTGATCACATGCGTCCAGGCATGCTCAGGTTGTGTGAAATTCAAAGAAGACCTCTCCTGCACGCGTTGAAGCATAATTTCATATACACACGGTAGTTGTTACGCTATTTATGTAGTCCATGAACTACCTGTCCGTCGTTAGCCGCTTTTAGGCATCTCATAGAGTTGATGGAGCACAGGCACGTGTTTGTTAAAGAATTCAGTTTTTGGATAATATAACAGCAACACCAAAGACCTGAGAAATATGTTTTCATGGTTACGTCTGTTTCAAGTATGAAGAGTGTTATTTAAAAAGACTTCAACTATATGGGGGAGGGGCCTATATTTGTGTGACTTTTATCGACGGATTAGAACAAACACAGGTAAAGCAAATCGCTGGGCTGATTTCCCCTATCCTTTTTTGTGTTTGTTCTTTTTTGAGTACAACAAGTCAGATTTTTGAAATATTTCGTCTCTATCCAATTCATTAAAACATAGAGAAGAAATAGGTCGAGCTGCAAGCATTCCGTTTAGTCTTGTCAACCGCGGACGTAAAACATGCCAGTAAATAAACACGGTACAGTAAGGGGGTAAATGCAACAGTAAGGTAGGCACGATCGAAAGTTCTCACAGTACGTACGTTGTCTGTCAGTTCACTTGCGGTTGTGGTGACGCATACATTGGCAGAACGGATCGCTGCTTGACTTAGTGTGTGTCAGAACACATACCCAAATGGCTGTTAAACTTGATGACGCAACCCGCTGGGGTAACGAAGTGAAACCGCCAGCTTTTTCGATTGCAAGACACTTGATTGCATCAGGTCGCAAAGTTGATCTGACCCAGTGTCTCAAAGCGTTGTTGCGCAATCCAATACCGAAGCTATTAGCACTCAGTGAAGCGATTCTAATCATGAAGCATCAGCCAGCACTCTGTGCACAAAAGCGATTGACCCAAAATGTTTGTTTACCTAGGCGTTAACACGACAGACTTCACTCTCCCCAACGTACGTACTGTAAGAACTTTCGATCGTGCCTACCTTACTGTTGCATTTACCCCCCCCCCCCCTACTGTACCATGTTTATTTACTGGCATGTTTTACGCCCGCGGTTGACAAGAGTGAACGAAATGCTTGCATCTCACGACTTCTTCTCTATGCTCTAGTGAAATCAGATTTTCCTTGTTTCGTGTTTTTTGATTCTCATCATTTTGCCTCAGTGTCAAACTCAAAATGGTTTTCTCAATGACGTGAATGTTTTGTGCTCCATATCTCAGTGACTGCGCATCAATGTGTGCGTGCGTGTTCACACTCGAACATTCAGGCCCGGATTTGCTCTCATCCCTACCTTTTTTTCCGTCCCCGTTTGTCAACTTTTCCTTTTCTCTTGGGAACATCACATGCCCACCCGATTAATCTGATCACGCAGGTTTCAAATTTGAACATATCCCACTGTGGGGTATCTTCATACTCAGTGCAGGTCTGGGTTGTATCACTGTGATTCTGGTCAAACTACTTATGATCCCGTATCTTCGTGAAAAGTTTCTTGGTAAGTCCCTATTTCGAACAGAAATGTCATACCCAATCTCACTTTGCATTTGAATGCTGCATTTATGCCATGACAACGCGAACATATAACGAAACACAGCATTTCCGTGAATAATTTTATCTGCATGTAAGTAGTACCTTATTTTATTTTTGAGACAGGACAGAATTTTGTCGGCACTACACGACCGATTTCGCGGTTGTTGGCACTCATCAGGTATGCGTACCCGGTGTTCCCCTGCCCAATCACCCCTATACTAGACGTCAACTTCGTTGTAGTTGCTGTCATAGCCATCAGCGTGAGCTACAAAAAAACCGATGTTCGAAATCCCTGAGTTCACGTTGATAATTTTGAAATACCGAGTTCGCATTTTGCTAGATTGACCCAGTCAGCCGAAAGCAATTTGTTTGGTTAGTCACAAAAAGCAAGTAACGGTTATCCACTCTCTGGCATTTAATTGCTAGTTTAATTCTGTCCATATTCATCCGTCAATCTGACGCATTCCGACCACAGATTGACTGATGAAATATCCGTCAACCAGGTGCAACACCGCCCTGAAAATGGAACCGACTGTAGTTGACAGTCTGTTTTGAGTTTTTCTAGCCACTACAATACCACCCTTCGCTAACGTTAAAATCTGCGTAAGATGATCGTGTACTCTTCATTCGGACGCTTAACTCCCCATATAAGATATATATATATATATATATATATATATATATATATATATATATATATATATATATATATATATATATATATATATATATAATCAATAAAGGATGTTCTCGGTCAATCGGAAGCACACGACCGCTATTCCGGTAACACTCAGAAACTGTTCTGGTTCCAACTACTGGTTTAGCTTCGTCAGTTACTTCCAAATGAGATGGAAAGTAGGTGAATGATTTAGATGCAGAGAACATTTTGATATATCTATGTGGAATTTACTATTGACACAGGGAACTGTAATGTTGCAGGTAATAACAACTCCACTTGCAATTCACCTGTATTATTTGCACCCAGTTGGCCGTACGGTAATAGCTCAGTTTGTAGAACAACTGCCGATATGCGGAAGGTCACCGGTATGATTCCGACTCGCGGTGTGAATTTTTGGTTGCGTAAACTGTAGGCGCTTTTCCATTACTTGTGTTGTACTGACATCTATGATTTTTCGATCCGAATCTCATCAGATCCATTATTTCATCCCACAAATATATTAGATGCATTCTGTCTAACTGAAATAAACGCAAATTACTGAATGCCAATGTTCAAATCGGTTCACTCGTATTGTATCCACTTATAGTTTCTTTCATTAATTTATACTTTTATAGATTACAGCAACTCAGATGAAATTTGATTACTATCTGAGACAAACTGTAAACTTTCAAATTGTTCCACGAAATAGAAGCGGAATTTAGCCGACCATGCACAGACTTTCATGTCATTCTAGATAAGTGTGATTTCATCGCACATGATCAAGTAGTCACGATTTGTTTGCGCAGAATTTTACTTGCATTTCATCTTTCGTTCAACTATGAATTGTAGTAAATTAGACTCGCCAATGACCCCTTTCGGTCATCTCGGTCTATTTGCTAGGCTGTACGCAGGACCCCGGAGATGTTCGAATAATTGTGTGTGAATCTTTTCCCAAGAATTTCACAACAGTATAGCAATGCTGGGTTCAAGTTTCCTACGGGCAAAATGTAACTGACTGTTAATTAACTAGATTGGTCCTAAGTCACATATCATCCTAATCTCGTGAAGGAATAAGCTGAGATTTAACGGAGAAAATGGGGACATAGCAGGGCCAGTTGTTCATGCGCCGAAGTCATATCTGCAGCTTCTGAACAAAGCAGCTTTTTTGCTTCAAAATGTGCAAAATGTTTTTCATTTAAACCGTTTTGCAACGTTCGTGCACGATACACTCAAGGTTGCTGAATTAACGATTGTGTGGATAATGTGCTGTTTCATTTTGTCGATAGTTTTCTTACTGATTCAAAGTACTCTTGAAATGTGCGGTTTTCGTTTCGTGTGATAATGTTTCAACTAACCGTGTAGGTGTGCTGCAGTAATATTTCTCAGTATACACTTCCGCTGTGGGACTGAACTGATTTTACAACTAAATAGAAGTATGACTATAAGTTTTAGAAGTTTTGTCGCATGGGTAGTTGCATTTTTATTGAATAGTCGGATATCGTGTGTGTTGTCATCGCGTGTACTTTGGACGCAGTTGGCTTTTGTAAACGTTGGCCATCTGTGTTATCATTGTAGCATCCATTTGTCCTCCTGCAGAACGCGCGTACGCTTAGTTGGCTATGTCAGTACCAGTGCACGGCTGTTGTCACCAAAAGAAGCTCGTTCACTACCATGATGCCTTCTCCAAATTGTGCGGTTCTGAAGTCATTCACAGTACTAGATAGCCAGTCACCAAATTAGACATCCAATATATATATATATATATATATATATATATATATATATATATATATATATATATATTAGTTTTGTTCACCAAGGTGGGTAAATATCTACCCACAATCACTAACCGATGGAAGTGAATTGTGTTACGTACGTCAGCCTGTGCTTCTTGGGTGAAATTCAAGCAAGTTACTTATCTCTTAGTTTGGGACATTTAGTGACATGCTAAGCGTCGCACTTGCATCCGGACTATTTTTATTCGTTCAGGGTCTCCACATTAACTTACCTTTGTTCCGTCTATTGTTGTTTGTACTCTTAGTTTTCTTCATTTCACAGTGCGTGATGAACACAATTGTAGTCGGAATCGGGTAGTTCTTTCAGAATAAATTAAAATACGTTTAGGTTTCGAAAACGGCGCTGTCGGAAATGATGGTAGTTTTTTCCAACATCAAACGCCAACAGATCATATGGCTCATCGTTTTTCGGTACACTGCGAACCGACGTCGGCTCACACACATTGGATTAAGATGCATTTTGAAAACATCTTCGAGGGGGCAGTGGATAAAAAGTTCATGCGTCACAGTCGGTCATCGGAAAAGAAGTATGAACTAGTTGTACTACAACTGCGTTGCGTTATTCATGGGGAAGCTTACGTTTTAGGCTGGATTATACATTTCTATTAGTTTGTTCAAGCTCCCTAAGCGGGCAATGCCAACGATACCACTGCTGCATATGGCACATGTTTCCTGCATTTGTATGGGTCACGCATTCATTCCCGATTGAAATACGTAACAGTCCTAAAATGCGCATTAGTACACATAACATAACTTGTGGCAAAAACGGTGAAAAAAATCAATATGATTAGTATTTGGCCTAATTTTAAACTTCTCAAAGATTTCTCAGTTACTGTATTATGGTATGATGGTGAACCCTTCTGCGTTCCAAACTGCTGCTTTTTCTCAGTAAGCCTGGAGATTAGAAGCCTTGGATCATTTGTGCTGGCCTATTGATATTCTAATCGAGATATTCCTCTCACTCCCACCCATCTTAACGATAGCCAACGAATCCACCAGTCCGAAATGGTCTATGCGTTTGGGGAATGAAATTTCCAAAACGACTGCGCGGTTGACTGCTTGTTGTCGGCGAAACACAGTTAATCGCCACGCGAAAGCAAAAATCGACAACGGAGATTCAGTCAAATCTGCTCAAGCCGAGTACGGTGCTAACCGTAAGCGGATTCCATCGGAGCTGGCCATGATCTCGGAGAATCCTTTGGATGAGGGCACAGAAATGCAACCAGTCTTTTCTAGACCGCCTTTGTCTGACGGGTCAGAAACTGTGAATAATAGTTTCGTTTGTGGAGGAGGAGATCACGTACCCGGGAACTCGACCAGCTCAGTCACTGCGGGACGTATGAAAATTCAACGTATCAAGCATTCAGCTGCAAACATGCCTGGTCGCACGCGGACTACAGAATCGGCTCGGGGTAAGTTGGTTAGAATATGCGTACAGTTTGTCAGTTTGTACTAAAGAGCGTTTTACTTGGCCTATTAAATGATGAAATTAGACTCTTCTCAGGGAACAGACTTGGAATGTACCAGCAACAGGGTCTTCCAGGGTAATGATTCTCAAGCCACATATTACATTTTTCCACTAGCTACACTTCAAACCGTTTGTTGGTTCAGGTATTAAATTGTGTTATGCACTTTGCGTCACTCATATTTTAGACGGTTTTAAAGGACCGGTAAGAGATTGAGTTTGCAATCACCCATTGTGGTAGTCGTAAATGCTGGATAAGTTCTAGTATCTGTGGTGCGACATTACAATTGATGGATTTCTTGCGGAGGAGATCATATATATTATGTATTATATTTCACACCCACCTTATTTCAGACGGTGTGCCAAACAAAACATGGCACAACGGGGGAAGAAGGGGTTTGTGGAGTGAGATTTCGCGATCCTTTTTGTTTATGGGCGCAATACTAACAATTTTCCCGGGTCAAAGCAGGTGGTTCTCTTAGAGGTCCACAGCCGGAGCCTTTAGCTAGCCAGGGCTTTACCTGCAGAGCAGTGGGACGGAGCGTGGAGTCCGCAATCCACTGAGGGCCGGTGACTGAGCGCTCGGTTCATACGCCCTTCGGATGAGGCCAGATATCCTGGGTGTCCAGTACATCGTCCGCCACAGATGCCGGTAAGCATAGTGCTGTAAGCTTTGTACGTCCTCTGTGGTTGTTTTGGAATCAGGGTTCAACCATCCCCCCTAGATTGACTTTCGGTCAGTTGACCTAGTGGATAGCACTGGGCGTTCGCCTTCGTCCTCACGCTTCAGTGTAAACACCTCCGCTACGAGAAGGCGGCGTGTAAAATCTCCTCAGCGGTCATTTGGATGCATTTTGATAGGAGTTCAGAGCGAGGGCCATTTGGGAGCCTGAGACATCCACCCCCGATCATACTGAGGAATTTCGAAGCAGAAGATATCATATTGCAGATGGCTAAGAATAGACTGATATTCGCTATTCTATCATTCGTGGCGCCAGTAAGAAGCAGTGTTTTGTTTGGAAGGGCGGATCTACGACACCACAGCTCACCTGGTTTCGCTCGATGATTAAGAAAGCTTAGCCTCTGTGGGATAGGGGAGAGCACTCGTGGTTTTTCTGATGTCTCCAAAGCATTGCTCGCGTAACATCGTGGGGACAGTGATGATATTCGTCATCGTATACACTTTGGGTGTTGATTTGGACAAGCTCTGTCTGTATATTCACCGGTAGGCTATTCGCGTGCTTTGGGAATGGCTGGAGAAATTTCGCAACGATCAAATCAGCACTTGACATCGGTATATGTATAAGCTGACGTTCACATTAACATTAGTTGGTGCTTACCAAACTTTTGTTTGGAGCCCAGAGGATGGAAAGTGTCTTTGGCTGGGAGCAATTATGAAACAAAATCATAATTAAAGAAGGAATGAGAATCTATGAGGCGTGATAAGTACACTTCAATGACCATAAGACAGAAAACGAGAAAGAAGTGACAAAAATGTCAGAGGTGTGCGGTGAATAAAACTATCTAATATCATGAATCGCTTTAGGTCCTGCGTAACATTTCCTTTTTTGTTTCCATTATATATATATATATATATATATATATATATATATATATATATATATATATTCACTAGGAGCTAATTTGAATCGTCTGGAGTGTGAATGGATACTCTTCATTGAAGAGCCCACAAATGAATCACAACTATGATTTCTTATAGTTATTCGTGTCTGGGTCACGATTCAAATTAGATCCTAGTGAACATATAACATCGGAGTGTACAAGTATGAGGACGAGTGGGCAGAGGAGTACCGGGTACGCATACCTGATGAGCGGCAACAACCGCGAAACCGGTCGTGTGCTTCCGGGGAAATTTTGTCCACACGTTTACATACTACTTACTATCAATATATATATATATATATATATATATATATATATATATATATATATATATATATCTTAAACATCGTGTTATGAAGTGTTTATGCAGCTAATGGAAAGGAATAATATGCTCAGATAGGTGTGCATTGTGGTGGAGTGTGCACACTACTTACTGAATAGGTGGGTTGTTCGTTGATCAAAACGCAGTTATAAACAGTTATGGATTGATAAAGAACTCGGCTACGTCAGAGGGACCGGACGCATTAAAATAAAGAAGGTCATGTGATTCACACGATTGCATTTTCCGACAAGATAACGATTACCTCCAAGTGGACCGCAGAAATGCAAACGTGCATTGTTGTTTCATTTGATTGGTTTTCATGACTTCCAAACAAGTAGTTATCCTATTCACCAGGTATTATAACAACATGTGTACTCCGATTCATCCTCGCCACCGGAAATCACACTAATCTTGCAGTCGTTCATCGATACTGACCACATTTGTCTCGTTTATTGTATCCGGAATAGTGAATATAATTTTCCTATACAGATTCCACCGATCGCTCTTGTTATATGGTCCCAACCTCAGATGTAGCTAAACGATTTGCCTTTTTCCTCTTTAAAAACCTGCTTCGCCCTCAAATTTCCTAGTGAGCACTCGACTTACGGTGTTCAAGAAATTTTTCATGAAACTCGTGATTTCGTATGTTGGGGGCAAACATAACCCCCTTTTCGCCCTATTAGGACCTCATATAGCCCTGTATCACAAGTGTAGTGGGTGTTAACGGTTATGGGGTCTGTCCCTTTCATTGCACTTATGCGCATTCATGAGACAGAAAGCTTGTTTACAGTGCTCCGCGCATCGGGGCAGTCAATAATAACCGACTTGATACGTATTCCAAATCGTTAGTGATTCATCAGTCTCATGGGTCGTTGCAATGGTGATGCGGCGGAATGTTAGGAATCATCATCCGGTTGCAGTGATCGTCCGGTTTTCGAATTCGAACAATCAAGTTAGTCAGACCGTTGCATTCAAATATGTAATACCTGGAATAGTTCGATCCACTCTTCCATCCTCGATCGTTTGCCTTGTACAATTGAAACGACCATTTTGTTGCACTCACATGGCAAACAATGCACATTTGCTGTGGTCGAACGATTTCCTCATCAGATAAACAATTGTGAAAAAACGTTCAACACTTCCATATGGGTGCAGTGGTAAAGGCACACCCCATGACCAAATGGACTTTTTGTACTATCAGAGAATTCCGGAAACCATGATCCTGATTGGGCAATCACATAAGGCACTGATAAGTTGGGTATGATGGAGAACCTGCAAACTAGAAAACGCTGTCCACCACGAAGTGACACTCACATTTTTTGCACGAATATCAGGAGAGAATTAATGGTCCTGCGATTACAACTAAAAATTGGACTGTTCCATTAAGAATACGAATAACTTGTTTCAGTTACTTATGCTCTCTTATCTTTGCAATCCAACTGGGTACAGAGCAACATACGGTTTCGCAAACAATTCACATCTTATTTGGTTTTTGTCTATTTACTTAGTTTTTGAAATCACCCCGACCTCGGTAGATGCAAAGGCTCCAGGTGAGCATGGAAATGGGATCGCATCTATTTCCGCGTTCTCGGTTCAAATGCCCAATGTAGATTTTGCAGATGGAACCATGTCTGTGACCAAACGAACAGTGCTCGCTCAGCCCTCATTACCCCCAATCGGAGAGGTGAGTGGTCCTTTTTCAGCCATTACTTCGCACTATTCGTCTCAATGTGGTGAAGAACATGAGGCTTGTCCAGTTGGTCAAATCTAATAGTGGACGACGCGAAGACTGCCGGAAACTGTTGAATAAGATAATGTAATTTTTGTTCCGATCAGTATCTCGCCTTGAATAATGGCATTCTGCTATTTATCATTCCGGTTGCTAGAGTTAGTGTTTCTCATTGCTGGTAGAGTGCCTGCTCGGTAAGCGAACCGAGTGCTTGTAACCCTCGGCAAGGAAAATAACTTGAACATAGAAAAAAATAAAAAATCGATTCTCAAACCTAAGCACTCTCTTCACTCAGCTGCTTTTAACGTTCACATATTTTGCTAAACGGAGAAACAGGCTGTCCTAACTAGGACTCTAGAAACCTTTAAAATAGATTTGTGTTATGCCTCTGAAACACGCGTACAAGACTGTACTTCAGTGATAATGTAGCGGGAAATGCTGGGGCAAGGGGACGACGTGAATATCAGGGCGAACGGACAAACCAACCGAGGGCCACAGACAAAAGGACAGACAGCGAATATGTCGGAGGCTTCCCGAAGCGGACAAAAGGAGGTATACGGACTAGGAGAAGGGAAGCAGCGGAATCTCCGGCAACCAGAAAGATAGCCCAGATGAGGCGCTGCCAATCAAGGTATCAACTGAGAAAATCGGACCAACCGAATAGAAAGGATGCGCAAGAGAAGCAAGCTATCGGCCACGGGCAACTGGTCAGAACGTAGCCGAAACACTCAAGCAGCCGCAAGAGCAATGTTGGTGCCGTGGGGTCTGGAAAAGGGCCTATATAAACGATTGTATGCGTTTCATGACTTGACTTGTTTGACCGTTGGAATATAAGTATCCTACCCCGTCTTGTCGTCTTTGTTACAATAACACTTCACTCCCAAGATAAGGGTTCGGCTTACCATTTCACTACTCGTGTATCGAGTGATTCGATGTCTAGTGCTCATGGTTAGACTGGTGTTGGCATCGCTCTGGGCATGAAAGCTGAACGTTCACTGCTCGACTGGATCCCAGACAGGAGTACTCTGTGTGCGGTTCTGTTTGACGGTTCTGTGCGTGTCAACAACAAAAAACTGAATCATCCATGCTTTTTGTTGTTTTTATTTTAGTCCCTTGAGGCTAAAGACGAATTCTGCCGTGATTTGTCTCAACTGGTGTGCAGTATGCGCTCCAGAGACAGTGGTTGTTGCTAGTGGTTCCAGCTCTCAGGTTGAAAGCCTCAACAAGACGGAGCGGTACTTAGATGGCCTATTTGACATTCCAGCCGGTCGAACGGATAACTGTGACCTCATCATCCAACCGTGTTCCGACCATAGACTATTTCTAGCGAATACAAATTTCTCGTGCAAAAAGCGGCAACAACTAAGGTGGCGTTCTCCTACACTTTCTGTGTTGGAATCAGATCGACCACATCGGTTTCCGTTGCCGCTGGCGCAGACTGATTCAAGACTATCGATTATTTTGGTCCACGTCTGTAGACGCTGATCAAACTCCTAACCGCGCGCTTTTCAGCCTACGTCACGTCGGTGGCGGAAGCATCGCCAAAGCCAGTAGTCCCCTGCAGCTGCTACTGAACGGTAACTGTCGATCTGTTTTCCAAACAGAATTATCTGTTAGGGTATCAGTCCAGTCAGATGCCCAGGATTCAGATGAACAGTTGACTGAGATCAAGCAGGCCCTATTTGAGGCTGCTAGTGCTGCTCAAGGTTCAAAAATCAAACGCATGCAGAAACGATGAATTTTTGCATCCTCAGTTGTGTTGTTGGATGCGCGCAGATCGATTCCTCCGGATTCCATATAAGATGCTTCAAACACCAACTGATTCGGCACCTGAGAAACAACCGTGAGCAGTGGTTTAATGGGAAGTGTAGGAAGATGGAAAGGGCTGCGGCGATCGGCAACAGCCGCACCCTTTTTCCGCTTAATTAGAAGTATCAGTACACAGAAACTATGCGTTAGTAAACTGATCAAAGAGACGAATGGCTCATTGATTCAGACTCAGGAGCGTCGTTGAGTGGAGCATTTCGAGAAACAGTCTAACTGGCCTTTATCTAAAAGGGGTTCGCTAAGTAGCGCGATGGTTAGAGTTCTGGATGAAAATACCGACCCTCCGTCATAAGTGGTTTTCCGTGAGATAAGATACCCTAAACGGCTGGATCGGATAGGCTGCCTCCATCTGTTTTCAGACGTGGTTCCTCAGCATCATCAGTGGAGTTGACAAAGCTCCTCGGTTTGATATGGGATAGAGAACAAGTTCAAAAAAGTGGGTGTGAATCGGTGCTCGTACCGATTTACAAGAAAGCCGACAATTTCTCCTGTGAAAATCTCAGTGGAATAAGTTTGGTTAGCATCGCACCAAAACTGCTCGTCGGTAATTTTTTCAACTGCTTGTCTAACGCTCGGGCGAGATTCAGGCTCTGTTCAGACCTGGTCGAGGTTGTGTCGGCTACATCTTCACTCTTCGGTAAATTTTAGGACATAGACACACCCGCTTTTTCTGATAATAAAGCGGCTTTCCACTCAGTCGATCGCACAGCTCTCTGGCTCTGCCTTATGATGAAGGATATATATATATATATATATATATATATATATATATATATATATATATATATTCACGGATAACCCGGTACAATGTACAAGGGCGTAGTGCCACGCAAAAACATGAAACAGAAAAATAAATGTGAAGGATCAAAGGAGAAGTTTCTCAGGAGTTCGAACGCAAACTGTCACAAAATAACCGCCACTGAGCACGACACTGAGCCATATCCGACAAAGTTTCCATCCAGCTGTGTAGTGGATCTCGAGGTCCCCAACCATGCAAGCGTGAGGAACCGACAGAACCAAGTCTTGAAATCAGCACTTTGACAAACCAGTGCCATGTCATGGCTTGGTCTCCACGCTGTCGTTTCTAGCCAACCTTAGGCTCAGGAAATAGAGCGCGACGGGGAAAGTCGATGAGATGGCATACGTAGCACATGTCCTAGCCAGCGAAGCTGATGGGGTGATATGGTAGCATTGATCTGGTACGCGGCATGCCCGATTCCGTAGATGCGCCTTCGAACTGCGGAATTGCTTATTCGCTGTTGCCACCAAAATCGCGAGACACTCCTCAGGCATCGATGATAGACCACGGAAAACCGGTCGACATCGGCCGCTCGAACAGGCCAGGTCTCACAAGCGTATAGAAGCACACTACGCACAGCAGCGTTGTACACCCTACCTTTCAGTCGGAGAGAGATGTCAAGCCATCTTCACTGTTGACGTAAATTGCAGGATGTCACTTGAACCTTCGCCATTCGGTTGTCCACATCGTCTCCGGTCCGTCCGTCGACAGTTACTCGGCTTCCCAAGTAGACAAACTTTTCAGCAAGTTCTAGCCGATCGTGGGTAAGTGTGGGGATGGACTCCTGCCAGCCTTGTACAAGCACTTCACACTTGGAAGGTGAAAAGTACATCCCGTACCGTAATACAGACGACGCGAGGTTGTCTAGGACGCACTGTGCCACCGTAGCATTTTCGCAAACTAATGCGATGTCATCTGCATAGTCTACGTCTAAAAGTATGTTACCGGGTAGAAGCTCAAGGCCTCCGTTCATTTGATTTCTTTGCGTCCCTCTCAGGATGTCGTCGATTGCAAAATTGGACAGAAAGGGTGAGAGCGGGCACTCTCGATGCATGCCACTTCCAACTGGAAAGCAAGGTGACGATGAACTTTATGTTTTTGCTCGGCCTGAAGTCTGATGGTATACAGCTTGGATGGTTTTCACATACTTATCAACGACTCCCTGTCTGATGAGACAATCCCAGAGGGCTGTCCTATCGACGGAATCAAAGGCTGCTCGGATTTCCAAGAATATGATTACCGTCGGTCTACTATATGTGTGGCGGAGCTCAAGTATTTGGCGGATGGTGAAAATTTGGTTGATGCACCCGCGGTTGGGACGAAAACGGGACTGTTCGCCACGGATTTTTTGTTCGCGCACTGCAGACAATCTTTGGAGGATTACCGATGCTAGCAGCTTCGATGCGACTGAGACTAAGCTTATCCCTTGATGATTGGAACAGATGTTTCTAGCCGCTTCCTTGTATATAGGGATGATGGATGCACAGTCCCATTTTTTTGGAACACAATCGTGGCGCCAAACCTTTGAGAAGAGGCCGGTGAGCCCTGTGGAGAGGTGAACACCACCATCTTTGAAGAGGGCCGGAGGGAGTTCGTCAGGGCCTGGAGCTTTATTGCGTTTCAGGAGGTGGGGCGCTTGATCAACTTTTTCTGTGGGTGGGAAAGTGCATATAGTCCATGGAGCATGAACTGGTTCAAACGGGCTACAGAGTGGGGGCGCTGGAGCTAAAGAGCAGTTGAACTGCTCTTCAAAGTGTTCTGCCCATCGGTCCATGCACCGTGAAAGCTGGTGGATTGGTTGGCCGTTTTCCTCGCAGATCACTTCGCTCACTCCAGGCCTCTTGGTCCCAGTAGGTCGGATGAGTTGGAAGTCTTCGAGCATTGCCGATGGCAGCAGCTTGTTTCATTTCGGCCGCGAGTTCCGACCACCAATTCTCTCGATCTCTGCGCAAGTTTCTGATCAAACTTCGTCGTAGTTGGATGCGGATTTTCGCTTTCCGCAGGGATATTTCAGCGACTGTCTGTCAATTCCAGAGAGCCTGATGAGATCCAGTGCGTGACTGAATGCCGTGTGGCTGATCCACAAGATGCGGTACTCTATACTTTTATGGCGTCTTGGATGTGTTGCCAGCGGTCTGAAAAGTCATCCTATGTGTGGCTACTTAGCTGGGCAGCAAGTTCATTCTGATATCTTTCCCGGACCAACGTCCGGCAAAGTTGGTCTACGTCTACCCGTTGACGGGGGACTTTTGACCTGGTGAAAAACCGTACTATGATCTCGGCACACACTGGGGTGTGATCTGAATCTAGATGTGTGCTCCAGTACGACCTACAAGATTTGACTGAACCACGCTAGTGGTAGCTAACGCCTATATGGTTTACTTGTGTCCAAGGCTGATTAGCAGATGGCGGTCGCCATGTGACTGTGCGACGAAAGCTGCGCCGGAAGTTCGTACTCGACAAGAACAGTCGATGGTCTGCTCACAGATGGAGCAGTCGATTGCCATTATCCGTGCGTTGATGGTTGGCGCCGCTTTGGCCTCCAAGCACTCGCTCGCCTGGACCAAGGTGGCTAACGAGGGCGTTCAGATCTCCAGCCAGTACCGATGTATATCTATGAAATGCCTTTCGAAGAAGTTCGTGAAGCTGCTGGTAGAATAAATCTTTGACTGTATCCGGACTGCAGTCAGTAGGAGCGTAGGCAGCGACAACAAACAGACAACGATTGCCGTCGCGGCCTTTGTTAACTTTAAACGAACCCTCTAAGCGAATCGCACATAATCTGATGTTGACTGGAATCCAGTCACGTAGCGCAGACTCAGCTTTAGTAGTCAAAGCGATTCCTGCTCCTGCATGACCAGACGCAGAAGCCTTGGCGTTTCCGAATAAGCGTAGAGTAAAGACGTCCTGAGGACGAATACAGAAGAACTACGATGGTGGGGTCCTGGATGCTGATCTCGGATAGGCAGGAGACGTCAGTAGCCAGTGTCTTGAGTGTGCGCGCTAAAGCTGTTTGTTGGCCTATTTGCATCAGAGTGCGTACATTGAAGGCTGCAAGCTTCATTGGCACATTTGGTCTCAGTAGTGATTGCGATGAACTGCACACAACTGGAGGAGGAGTCTCATTTGCATGCCCAGCGTCTTTATCGATGGCAACCTGAGAAGTACATGGAATAGTAATAATATTGTTGTGTGTAAAAAAGTGGGTGAAAATGTGTGGTGTGGTAATAGATGGTTGGTTTTGCCCTACCGCCATCATTTGTGTACCTTGGGTGAGTGAACAGAATCGACTTCGAGAACGAGTAATCATATATGTGGAGATTTCATATAATCATGTGGGCTGGACACTACCCGGTTGCCCAGACTGAAGTAGAGAATTGACTTAGGGGGCCCCACCCCGAGCCTTTGATCAGAATGCCTAACCTACAAGGCGGTAAGACGTTTTGGCGGTATCGTAGCCCTCTGGGGGCCGGTGACTGATTGCTCAGTTCATACGCCCCTCGGATGAGGTCAAACATTCTGGATGCTCAGCCCATCCCTCCGCCACAGATGCCGGTGAGCATCGTGTTGTACGCTTCATATGCCACCCGTATTTGGTCTCGAATGAGGGTGTAGCTTTCTCCCCTAGGCTGATTCTTAGTCAGCCAACCCGGTGGAGGGCGCCGGGCATTCGCTTTCGTCCTCTCACTTTAGTGGGAACACCTCCGCCACGAGAAGGCAGTGAGTATGGCTTCCTCAGCAGGTGCTGTGGCAGACCCACGGTCATCTGGGAGCATTTCGAGAGGCCTTTAGGACTAGTGGCTATCTTGGAGCCTTAAGCACCCACCCTCAACCATACTGAGAAACTTGGAGGGTGTATCAGAGAAATTCATTCTCATCATAAAGTCCGTGTACTTAAACAGCCGAAGCCTAGTTCGAGCGTACGGTAATCTTTCACCTGATTTCATCACAAAAAGTGGTGTATGCCAGGGTTGCCTCTTATCCCATCTTCTCTTTAACTCTGCGATTGATATGTTCATGTGAGGATAGTGGTACTGAACATTTCCTGAGTGAAAAAGTATCAGAATATGCGGACGACATGGCTTTTTTGAGCGAAAATCCAGGTGAGTTGCAGGCTTTTCTGGACGGATTTGATAGCTATGTAGCCAATATTCGGTATGCGTTTTGCACCTTCAAGGTGCAAGATGCTGTTGCAGGACTGGGTTGGTCCAACGCCACACCTCTCGGTACCTGGGATGGCTATGGGAAAAGTAACCAAGTTATGTTGTCTGGGCAGCTGCATTTCACCCGGAGGTCGTATGTCGTATGAAATTCTTCGCGTAAACACAAGGTTCGTTTGATTTTTTCCAATTTGAGACGTATATGGTGTCGACATGACGTCTGCTTATATATCAAGGACCGAGTTTACACGACAGTAGTCAAGTCAGTTCTTCTGTCTGGCCAATGCGGATAGGAGATATACGAAGATTGTCGTTATTGGAGCGCCGATTTCGTCGCGGCATTGTTCAAATCTGGTGGGAATACCATATCGGGAATGCTGGGATTATACGCAGAGTATTAAGCACACAACAGATCACCAGATGAAACAGCAAAGGTCACCAGTGGTGGTTTGAACATGTGCTCCGCATTTTCCCGGATAGGAATCCATGGCGTACAGTGTTCGCTGAGGTGAGTAATGGTTGGAAGACAAATGACGATGGTTGGTCCATGACATGGAAAAAGGTATGGAAAACCTAACCAGTGGGCTTGGCTATGTAGGGCGTGTTACGCTTTCTGGGTGGGGTCCGAGCGATCTCTCCACTCAGTGATTAGGTACGTTGAAGGACATGGCTTGGTGTCGCAATCAATGGCGCTCTTGTACTCACAAACTTTCTTTTTCAACTTGATGGAAAGGTTGGAAGCAAAATACACAAAAAAAGTCAAGTGTTAAATAAGTCGTGTAGACGACGTCAGTATCACAATGCAAACTTGCCACCAACCCTGAAGTATGACCGTATGCTCCGAATCAGTTCATTTACTTTTGAAAATTCGTTTATTGTTCATTAAATTTGCCATCACCGTTTGTTCGGCGAGAAAAGCAAGATCATAGTAGAATATAATAAAAACAAATGATAAGACAGAATCACCATCAGAAAATTGAGTGCGAACACAAGAGCACCGTTGGTCGCCACAGATATCTACATCGCCCAGTACTCCGGTTTTCTTACCAAATGTATGAATTGAAGCTGTTTGTGTGCGATGATGTAGATTCACATTTCCATGTTTTGATCCGCAGCCCAGTTGCATTGCACGTTCGTTCTTTTATTTGATTTGTCATGTGGATTGCGAACAGTGGAGTTTAATTCATTGTGGCTTGCTAAGCAGCAGTAGTATAGATTTGTTTTTCTGAACGCTATTTTCAGTAGCTTGCTATTTCTTATTTGATTAGCATGATTGCTTGTGAGGATGGCTCACAAGTGAGTACAAATACGTTTTTGTTTCCTCATAACAAAATATGGTTTTCAGAACTAATCAGCAGAACTGTTTCGTGAAACAGTTTTTGCACTTGATGGCCATCGTGTTCAACTCGTCTGGTCTCGTGTTTCTTTTAGCTGGGGTGGGGGGTGGAAGTCATTGTAGTGAACCTCAAACCTGGAGGTACAGATTTAAATCCTGCCGCCGCCGGTCACTTCCCTATTCAACAGCTTCTAGTTGGCCACGACTTACTTTCTACCATTTATCTGTAATAAGTAAATGGAAGTCAAATATTATTACAATCCCAGCTGATCCAACCGATTTTGTTTATCCGACGATCAGGAACCTGAAGCTCGTGATCAAATCAAGGATCGACCCTCAGAAGCGCGTGTGTTCTCACTATTGCAAGTGATGACCGCTGTGTTTGGCTCGTTCGCACACGGTGGAAATGACGTGAGGTGATTTGTGTTTAAATTTGTCTTGTTATCTTTCTGAGCACTCGTAAGCTGTGCACTGCAGTTACGTAGTACTTTTTGAGGTTGTCGCGTACGTGGATCAGTCGAATAATCTGCGTTTGAAGCGTGGTTCGATGTTTATGATTTTATAGACTGTTCTAAATAGCTCAACGTTTAGTTCATTGATTTCAAAGTAAAGCTTGTGCCTCGTGGATCGTATTCACCAAGCCTTTGAGAGTAATTGATTGCTTTCCCAATGCATGTACAATATCGCCACATTGATGTCCTTTTTCATTCATCGACCGCAGATTTTTCCGGCCAGTTTTGCCACATACATGCTCAGCTGTGTAGCCCTATTCTGAACTACTAGGTTCGGTGAGATTTAAATGGCGTGAACTAAATTCTAAGGTTGTTGGTCAAGGGAACACTTCAAAAAACATGCACACGAGAACACGGTAAATAATCAATAGTAGTAAGTTATGATGATCAAAACTGTCAAATGCGTATGGGATCCTAGGAAACGTGATTCATCTGAGTGCGACCATCCGTGCACACTGGCCATTAGTCCGATCACAGTTTTTGTTCTGTTTCCGCCCACTAGTTCTACTGAAAGGACTCTTTGCCCTTCGAACCATCCCAGTTTAATAGTACAAAACAGGTCGTTCATGTAAAATCTGCGGTGATCACAATCAAATCCTTGCATGAAAACGTATCGGTCCGCTGAAATTCCTAAACGGCTCTTTTTGACCGGTTCGTTTGGCTACACTCGGATGAGCTGATTCGGCTCTGGTTGGTTCCGATAACTGTTGGCTGCTGATTGGTCCACTGATACTCTCGGTTGGCTCCTTTCATGTCTCTGATTCTGGGCAGCCGATGACGTGCTGTCTGCTTCGCTGACTCCGGCCTCGTTCTTGATTCTAGACGACACATGGAGTGTTGACTGTCAACTGAACCGGGTCGGTTATAGATGACCTGTCTGCCATAACCCTCACAGTTTTCATCTGACACCTCAAAATAAAATCACCCAGAAGCATGGGCGGTGGTGGAAAGTGATGGTACGGGTACTTCCTTGGAGTTCTTGGTTTCCATGTGACTACACATTTTACTCAGGGGAATGTGACTATAGTTGAGGCTACTTACTAATTCCACTGAGGTTTCTTTTCCTTTGCTTCGCGGACATAATTTCCGTGCCTGGTGATTTTATCGCCGAAGTTGGATACCTGGACTGGACTGAATGTATATAAGATGTCGAGTTGCTGTTCCAACCAATCAAACTAATGATGACGGTTGAGTCCTTCAACTGTGCTCCCATCACAGTGTTCCTGGCGGGTACGAATGTATTCAGTTCTTCTGAAGCCTGATCGCTACTGATGGACGACACGGGTAGACGTTCGGTATTTGAACACTGGTGTCTTCGTAGCATTGGCATTGTCTGAACTTGATGAGAACGCCATACCAGCGATTCTGATTTTGGGCGCAGAATGTTGTTTACCCGAGGCGGATAATTGAACACTGAAGTAAATTTAGTTGGGGTATGAGTTGTTCGCGTTCCCGGATGGGATTTATCGACTTGCAGCGTTCTCGAATGGCGACAACGGTTGAAAAATCAAAAGGCTGTCTAGTCTGGAGCACACAAGAAAGGTATGAATGCTCTGACCAATAGATTTGACCATTAGAAGATGTTTGAGTTATTGGGTGGTCCACTGACTCGATAGCTACGTGTGTTGGTAGATACGAATAGGTGTCATGACCAGCGATGTTGCTTTATTCACACTCTGTCTTCATCTACCCGATGGTGTTATCTGTACTTCTCACTTATTTTTCCGGTGAATTTCTCGATTATAAATCCAAACCAGAACCGCCGCGCAGAAGTTCCTCTTCAGCTGTTTGACCTGAAATGGACGCTGTTAGTCTATCCTCTCTATCGACAGATATTCAGCGTACTAGGATGGTTGAGAAAGCTGTCACGCTTGCCCACCGATAGACTTCCTCAGTGTCCGTGGTTCCTCAAGGTAGGTAGTGGTTACCTGGCAGATTGTAGCCACCACTCCATGTCAGGACAGTAGTCCATTGTCGTCCGGCTCGTTACCACACCAAACCTATTGGGGTCTTGTGTGGTTATCTACTCCTAGTCTCCGGGTTTGGTTGCCGGTTATCCCTAATAGTGCTGTAGTCCTTTGTGGCTATGGAATATATACCCCTTCCACGGCACTTATGCGCAAGCATGTATTAAAAAACGGCAAAAATGCATGGGAATATTAACCAACGGACTTGGCTGTGTTAGACTTCCGGACTGTGGTTCACAAGATCCACCCGCCAAAATGGTTAAATATATTAAGTGAGCTAGGTGCCGTGGTCAGTGGCGTAATTTAATTTTTACTCTTTTTTTGTCATTATAATTTCCACATAACTTTCTTTTCTGTTTGCTTGCTGTTTATACTTTTCGTTTTGCTCTTTGGTTGGACGGTACCAAGAGGAGGCAACCGCAGCCGAGTGTGAGGTTAGAGGTTAAAAGCAGCTTAACTAAAACGTTTTACCCACCCACTGGTTCTGAAAGAATAAATGTAGGTTGGTTTCTATCTGTTTGGATTTTCAGCTGTGCTCCCGCCTTAAGCTAGAGGCAAACATTGCGCTGGTGTGCATTTTTATTATGAGAGTATAAAGGCCTCATCGAAATTCGTGAAACGCACGTCTTCGTAGTCAATTCCGCTTTCCTAGGCTATTCATAGTATATCTTATAACAAGGCTGAGATATGAAAGTCTATGAAATTTGATAACAGTAACGTTGTCGATGGAAGTTGTGTGACCGTAGTCAATATGATAAATTAGCCTGGAGTTCAGAAGCCCGGAAATAGTTAAAAGTTGACTATAGTTTATTGTTGAACCGATGAAAGGAGAATTCAGCATGAATGATTTTCTTCATCGGGAAATAAATGCTTATCCTACTACAAACATCCCTTTTTCTGAATTGTCTGCCAGCACCTCCCTAAGAGAAAAAACACCGAACTTATTCACGGAATACTATTTTTGTCTAACAGTTCAACAGCAAACTTCTGATTTATTTCGAGTGCGTGGCCCGAACTTCAAGGTCACACGAGCGCAGTTCATTAAAGATCCACTTTGTTTTCGTTACACTGACGAAGGATTTACTGACAACCGGAAAATTCCGCTACATTACTAAAGGGGAGAGGACGACATTGTGCTAGCCTATGGAGCACTTGTTCCTGTGATGATCATATTTTCTATTCTTGTGCATAATATGTTTTTTGCATTATTCATGTAGAAAATGATATTATCACAAGATATGTGCAAAAGACGAACATATCCGATTTGAAAACTGGTGTTAGCCACAATGAGAATATAAATAATATCAAGGGGTTAGTTATTAGAAAAATACGGTGGACAAGTGCCAAACTCGCAACATTTTACCACATTTTTCAGTTGATGACGAAATGCATAATTTCTTAGGTTGCAATAATTTTAAACTGGTATGAAATGAACTCCGAAGTACAAAAAAATCACGCCTTTTACCACCTGAAGCGTTTTAGTAGTAGCGGACCATTTGGTCCGGGTGGCATACACGAGTATGCTTATTTTAGACTACGACGACGACAACAAGGGCAACAAAAAACGTCACGCCTAATGGCTTCTTTCAGTGATAATCGAGGCGCACAAGAGACGTGTAAGGTGTTATCCAATCTCTCGTTCACGATGTCCTCTTTCGGCCGTGAAATTTTCGTTCACTCGTTTGTCGCCATTAGCACATATTGCTAATTCCCGGGTGCGACCACAGCATTAGTATAGGAAACCACAATGCTTCATCGTTGAAATGAAAACAAATAACTTATTTGGTTATCCAGTGGATAGTACCAAATTAGGTCAACCGATTCATCAGCGGTTGTGAAACGTTTTTAATTTTAGCTCTTATTTTACCGTTGGAAAAAAGTGTCCTAAAACATACTGAAACATACTGTGCGTCGGTACAGTGAAGGAGCCACTGAAATGCGATAACCTTTCCCCAGGATTGTATATATTGAAAGTGCAACTACGGGTGTACCGTTAATCACATCTGAGGAGAAAGTCAAACTTTTAGAGAACAGGTGCCTCTACAATGTTTGAAAATGCGTTGTTCAACAGTCACAGTCCTCCGACTTCATCCTCGTGATGTCATCTCTGAGCCGAAGGAAATTAAAACGTCTGATGGCCGAATTTCTTTTCCGATGCATAGTAACGGGCGATCTCGTGTTCCAAAGGTCCGCCGGCATACATACCACCGATATGTGTGTCGGGTTGTTACTTTCAGTCTTGATTGCTCCATTTGATTTGTCCATATGGATGGATTTGGTACCCAAATATTGAAGTGAAGATAGAAGCCGCGTTCTACAAAACAAACAAGTGAAACATCCTTTGATTCCCACTCTGAAAATGTCCTCTAAGAAAACGCGGATCGCCGCGGCCGACTGATGTGGTCATTTTTTGTGCTTAAAACAACAAATTATGGGACAGTTCGCCTTTCTATGCTTTATTGAAATGGTTGTTCAAAATTAATTGTTGATAGGATTCTTGTTTCGTCCAGTCTAAAGAGAAAATCGGCTCGATGAGAGAGAACGCGACGAAGGTGCACACAAATGAAAGCATCTGGTGCACGAAGAAGAGAATGCACCCATCTTGTCGGTCATTTCTTGCTTCGTGCGAGAGTACTCAACTTATCCGTTTTGCATTTTTACTTCCTATCTCAGCATGTCATGGACTGCGTAAAATTCTGTGATGAACCGTACTTGACTCACAATGTGTATGCAGTTGTCATTTGCTCAACTTGGTTAGTAAAATTAATATAGGATGAATTGATTCGTCATTCAATATTAGTGCTGGACTCATCAAATGTGACTAACTGATCCTGGTGAATTTCCAGGGCGATTGATGTGGCATTAGTACGGTATGTCAGCATATCTTTCATCAAAATAGGGCCTCCGTCAACCGTATTTCTTAAAATGTACTGATTTGAACTGATAGGTTCTTTTCTCCGTGATCATATGTGCTGTGTTCACTGCCTGCCTACTCAGGAATTTAGTGGAAAAAACAGACTTCGCTATCACCAAGGTCCGTTGTTCTGTGACGGAACCAAGATTGTTGAACCTAGGCTGTTGAACTAACGATCATGATGTGGCAATAATTCGGCAGCAGACGAAGCTGTAAGCTGTCAAAATACCTACAGTGGCTCATCTGAGTTTCTCGTTCACCTGGCAAACCCAGTTAACTGAAAGATGTGCATAAATAAAATGGATACGACGGGCGATCTCTTGTTCCAAAGGATCACGCACTGCGGACAAACTTACAGGCCAGTCCATCATCATCGTACAGTGGTAAACAGCAGGGCACGCCCCACTGACCATTGCCTTTCTCACCATGCTGTACGTAGAAGTGCGTGGAGTACACAAGATGGACAGGAGGTGAACCTACACCGGGAGGGAAAAGGAGAGAATGCCCTAGTAGCCAACACACGGATACACAGTCTAACTGTACGAACGCACATTGATCAATCATCCTGATTCGACAGAAATAAAACAACACGATCGCCGCTGTTCGCGATTCACTGTCATATCCTTCAGTGTCTCTAGCCATACGGTTGGGGGATCTTTTGGACCCTAACCACGAAGACGTGAAGCACCTACTTTTACTAAGTTCGCTGTACATTCTAATTCCCTGCTGCACGCTATCTGTTGACCTTCACGTGGCTTCTTTCACTTCTGAGGAAAAATGGAAAACAAGGCACGTGTGTTTGCCATTCGTAACACGTGCCTCAACTAACGAAGTCTACTAAGCTGGATGCGCCGTGATAGAAGATTCTCTGAATTAGTGTTCAGTACTCGGTTTCTGGCCTCAGTATTGTTCACCCCATCATTTCATCTAATCTTAGCGATACTACGCAGACATCGACGGTCGAAGACTTCAAGACGACGAATATCTTCCACACGCAGCCCCCAAGTCTCACAACTATCCAACAAAACTGAACGCACCGCGATACAGTTCACACGACCTTTCAACTTCAGTTAAATGTCAGGTCGGCACCACAGGTGCTTCAGTCCGGTGTATGCCGCTCGAGCCTTGGGTATACGTATGGTCAGTGTGAATAAATTAGATTCGCAAATGGGATCCGGGTCATCGGCGTGTGATCTCGCTAGCATACTGGTGTAGACTAGTTAGTGGGCAGCTGGCAGGCATACAGCGTCGATTCAGGTATTCAACGCGCGGACTTATTGTTAACTGTGCTTTTTCCAGCTGACGTGGAACTTTACTCCCGACACGCGCCCCCCATTTCGTATTTGTACGTAGTTCGACCTTAGCGCATACACATCCTATTTTTGAGCCATTTTATTTTCCCAGTGTTGGTGATATCCAAACCTCTGTGAGCAGAAGAAAAGATCCTCGTTTAGCTCGTACTCGCTCTGGAGTAAACTTGGGAAACTTTTAAGGCCAATCTTTTACGTTTAATCGGTTCAGTTCATTTTGAATAACTGGTTGACATCACACTCGAACCAAGTGCTTTCAGCCTCAATTAATCAATAATCGCCATCAAGAAAAATGAGTTGGGAAGTGAAGGGACGCACACACGGTTAAGAGTGGTGTCGATAAAACACTCCTAAAAGTGACAAAGACATAAGTCTAGGAAAATAGTTGATTTGGTTGTCCTGTTGATTCTGTAAAATATCAACGTGTCAGTCATCACAGAGAAGTCTCGGCTGCACTCTACTACAGGTGGGTGGCAATTCACAAGTAGTACTTTATATAACAATTTATATTTCAACCCATACAATGTCTTCAAATATTGAAATAGAAACTCAGTGCGAAAAAATAATTTGTCTGACCGATTACTTCTAATGTTGCAACCTACATGGACCACCCAAACGATGCGCCTGACCTCACGAATTCCTGTAGCGAACGGGTTGTGTACGCCGATTATAACAGCATGACCGACTCTCCAAATCTCCCTCTCTGTATCTTCCATTTATTCCTTTTTCACAGTAACGCGATTGGTCCACTGATTGGCTTGTGGATTGTCGGTGTCACGCATGAAGTGGACTCCAAAATGCCCATCCCAGTTTGGTTGCTGGTCTACGGAGGTGTTGGGATTTCGATTGGTTTGTGTCTGTGGGGTCGTCGGGTCATTCAAACCTTAGGTGAAGATTTGGCCAGAATCACACCATCCAGGTAAAATCTGTGATTGATGTTACTTAGTTTTCAGGACTCTTCTGTTCGTGGAGTTGAATTACAGTTTAGCTTTTGATCCCATACCTGTGTATGAATTCTCTTAAATAGACACACCTCGTAACGACTGCCGTGGTCTGCCGCACTATCTATAAATTTGAATCTAAAACCCATAAAAGACTCCTTCGTGTCAAGCATAAAAATATTCTTGACGTTAGCGCAGTTGTTTATCAAAAGAACGAGTTGGGACTCAAACCTGGTACGCTGTTGGTATTGTGTCTATACCATTTAACTACCTTGCAAGCCTTTTGCGAGTTGAATTTGTATTTTTGGTTCAGCAAACTTAATAGCGGTACTGTTAGACTGAATTATTCACTTATCATATTCTAGTTGCTGAGACGTTTTATATCCCAGTAATAGCTTCCGCTTACGCATAAATAACGTCATTGTGTCTAGTCAAGATATCACTCATTTTTTCATAGCTACAAAAATCATGCAGTTCTGTTCAGTGTTTCTCGTTAGGAATCATCAGGAGGCCATGTGCAATACCCGAACTGCGGAATTATGATTCACCAGCGCTAACACCAGACTAATTACTGCCGGTCTTCGATATTTGGTTTTACATCTTCCATCCTCAGTACCAATTGGTCTTGAAATAGATTGAGTGACCACGTTGTTCTCCTGTATATGCATGGACACCCGATCCGATTCCTGTTCAGACTCTGATACTCAGAAGGCTTAGCTTATTGTCTATTTAAAAACACCGTAGAAAATACCTTTATCTTTCCATAATATGACAAATCTACAGCTCAAAACTAAATGTAGCTTTCTGTTTTCACCTTCCCCTGGTCAGTGGTGTTTGCATAGAAATCGGTTCCGCGCTCACCGTACTCTTAGCCAGCAAGGTGGGATTGCCTGTATCAACAACTCACTGTCAAGTCGGTTCCGTGGTCGGTGTGGGACGAGCCCGATCGCGGGATAATGTGAATTGGAGCATATTCCGCAATATCATCATCGCCTGGGTAGTGACCGTGCCGGCCGCGGCCGGGGTGTCTGCTCTGCTCATGTACTGTTTCACCTTCCTTGTATAACCGGACAGCCGATTTAGCTCACTAATAATCTTTCATCAGCTGACCATTTCAAGTGCGTGTAAGCAGATCATGTACTGAGGTGATCGAAAGCACACTGACACATGAAAAATGTGGGTTTAATGGGTTTCATTGTGGTTGACTGTTCGTGTTATTCATTGAGGGCTATCCTATGGTAAAGTTCATTTTCACCTTTATATGATTGACCCATTTCACGAACAGTCCCATTTTTTTGCATTCATGCATTGCTGCAGTTTAAAACGTTCTTCCAAAGTTAGTTGAACTTCCTCTTTTTTCGTGTCTGTCATTTTTTTCTCTGTCTCTTTAATATCCTTTATTCTTTGGTGTCTACGAATTCTCTTCATCATGTTCGTCAGTCTTTATGTATTGTGAGAAAGAGTCACAGCTAAAGAGAACAACCGGATGTCCCGTAATGGACCCGCTATCCCAATCAAATCAAATTCCTTCTTTCGCCTCCACAGCCTCTCCTCAAATCGTTCAGTTAACTGGATAATGGAAATTGTTTTCCTTTTGTAATTCTTCAAAATGCTGTTTTTGATACTTCGGTGCAAGGAAATAAGTAACGGGGCCACTTCACATTTGTTCTCGCGATCCTGTCCTTTCTCATCCACCACTCTATAAAAAATCGGAGCTTCACTCCGTTTGCTGCGGTCGCCATTATCGTAACGGTATTCAGGCAGATCTGAATTGACTTGTTCGAGCGTCAGATATTTTGTAGACTATACACCAACTTGCTCCTATGTCAATCAAATCTCATTTCCACTTCTATGCAGATTTCTAGGTGCGCTTGTGCTTCAGTTCACCGCCTTCACTCCTCAGTTCACTCACACCTTACTATTTGAACTTCTCTTATCACAATTTCTGTCCCTGTCACGCCCTCCCGACTGCCATTGTCCAGATGGTCCATCTTGGTTGATAATGTGCGTCTCGGTCCTCCTGATTTTCGTTATGGCCTAAATGATTGATCTTACTAACACCACTATGCTCTCCTTTACGTACCATACAGACCTTCCTCCTCCATTGACTGTCTTTTTCCGATCGCGCCACAAATACTTCTTCCTATCGGTCGCTGAACAAGTCCGACCAGATAATAAAATCTGTTTGTTAGCCTTATTCTCATCGACTGCGCGTTGTTTGGCTCCCCCCCCCCTTCTGCCTCCCTTTCACTCCTACACACTCCTAATACAGCAGAATTTTAGTTTGTATACGTATTTTTGCGTTCATTGAATGATAAGCGTTTATTGGAATTCAGTTTTTTATTTTCTCGCCTTCGCACATGCGTACTGATCTTATTTAATTCCTTCAGGTTTCACGAACGTTGTAGATCAAAGAACACATCCCCTCTCAAGCTGTGGTTGCTAAACCGCCAACAATCTGCGCACTACTCGTGACATTTCAAAACCGTTTCCTCCATAAATACTCATCATGAGTGCATGGAAATCACTGTCATCTTTGCAGAGAATTACTTTTAGTCTAGCAGATTTTTCGATTGATTCAAAGTGATTTTTCCGTCGAGAAAGACCAGACTCCAAACTCAATGTGGTAAAAGCTATGTGGTGTTTTTGTTTTAGCCGACAAACAATATGGTTCATTCACGAAGTGTCCGAAGTGCACGGGTGTGACCTCAAATTTCAATCTTGAATCCCATAGAGGTCAACATATATCTGTACATTATGGTCGATTCCAACACAGCATTGTATTTCTGACCGTTCACTTGTCATTGTTCGTGCTCGATTGGTTTGACTTATTGAATTTTCTGATCGTTGGATTTGTCAAGAAAATTCCGAGTTGACCCTTAGCTTTAAAGAACCTTAAGATCTGCAACATTTCTGCATATTGGTTTCATTCATTCCTCCGGCTAGTGTTTTTCGTGGTGCCCTGTTCACCTAGCTGAAACCATACACCGCTTGTGGACAAATCGTCAATTTTCACGCTCGAATCCTCATCCGATGTTCCTTTTAATGTGAATATCATGTAAGCTGTCGACGCCCTTATTCTTTTAAAATGCGTTTTTACAATTGAACGGCCTTTCAAGTATACGAATCTCAATACCCCTTTTTTGTATGTCTTACTTCCTTCGTTAGTTAGTAGGAAAAAGAGACTCTGTTGATTAATAGCTCTTAAATGCGATCATTTATCGCCGGTGACGAGTTTTGAGTGCAAGGCTCAGTAAATGTCAGTCCGCTGTGTGATTTGTTAGATCATTGTCGCAGTAATATTTCGATCATAAATTTAGTACGCTTTCAGTTGGATTTCGACAACCCGATAAATGAACATACCAGATCAAGGGACTAATATGTATACCTGAAGTTTTCCACCTGCTCTGTAGATCAACACATTGAGCCCGGTATTTTTATCCACACCTGTTATTCGTGACAGCACAAGCTTTTATCGTCCTTCAAGATTCTGTAACTCGGCCCTGGATGATCTAATACAGATTGCTGTGATCTGCAAAATTACCGTGGCTTTTGAACCACAAGCACGAACTGCTTTGCATTTTCATCTGACTGATTCCGAAATATCGTCTTTGATTCTGGGCAGTTACCGATATGCGTCCAATAAGAAGATGCTTGCAATTTTTTCGTCATACTCTTGAACAAATGCAGTTTACTCCATTACAAGTCCTTACGATCAAGTCAGCATTCATCTCAATAATTTGATGGCACTGATGTTAAAAAGTGAGTCTAATATGAATAAAAGAAATTAGAACGGTAATCACTCAGTAAGCTTCTCAAGTCTACTAAATAAACAATGTTACATTTACACAGATCTCGGTAGCCGCTGGTCATATGATGAACAACCGTTACTAGTGCAATCAGAATAACGTCCTTGTATGGCCGATGGTTCACGAGGATATGTGACACACTAGGGTTCATTTGAATTTCATTGTATTTTTAGCTTCCCAAACGTATGACCTCTGTAAGCTGTTTCTTCTGAGCTATAAAAACATCAAACTGGGTGCCTTGAAGACATGTCATGTCGTCAATGTGAATTCTTCTTGACTCTCAGAATCATATCTGGTTTCTGTTTTTCGTTGCATATTTTTCGCGCTCCACGACCAATACCAACTTAGGAAAGAGTCAGTCTTGCACTCGAGTGTTCTGGATCTGCTAAATATCGTTTTTTTCGTCGATCCGGTTGATAAGACTGATTTTTGGTATAAGTGTGCCATTGATAACTACATTTCGCCATTCAAATGAATGTGGTCTTCGGACAGCAGGGAGAAAACGCAACATGACCAACTCCGCCAGTTAATTCTTCTGAATATACGACCGATTGTAGGATCACGAAACCATCGGAAATGGACAGGTTGCATTTTAAAAACGACTACCAGATCGCTTTTATTTTCCAAAACTTTTTCTTATCCCTCTTTCCACCAAAACAGTAATTTCCTAAACATTACTTGTAAACGTTAATATATATATATATATATATATATATATATATATATATATATATATATATGGACATAGAAATGGAGTACCTGGGGTTCCTCTTGACGATGGGAGAAGTCATCACACTTCATTAGGAAGCTATCACCCGCCAAAGCTGAGCGACCCACATCCCAAAGTGTGCTGCATCATCCACGTTCCGCTTGTTCAATTGGGTGCATGAAGCTTAAAACCGAATCTGAAAAACCGATCGATACCATAGCACCGGAGAGAACAAGACAGCATACCTGCAATAATTAGGTCTCACGAGACAGACCAGAAGTTCCTTCACATGTTCTTCGGTTACATTGCCGTACCGGGTTGATGCCCCACCACCTCGTGGGTCAAAAGTTTGAGTCAAAGGCTCCGGTTAGGGTTCCCAAAGAGGAACCCCTTCTGCGACGTGGACAGCCGCGAAGTATTATCCGTCTAGAAATCTCCATCATTTTTCTTGTAAAGGGCAATACTAACCTCTCAATCCCTTAACTTAAGATCGATGACGCGCCGCGGGTAATTGCGGCTCTGAAGAAAGCAGTAATTCAGGGTTGGGGCACGAACCAAAGGCACCAGTTTAGCGCACATGTTCGCTTCACTTGACTGCCTTCACCATCCGCACACTATGCCGGATAGGTCAAATGGCTGATCTCGCTAGAACTCTTAAAAATTTCAAAATATATGCTTGGTATTGTCTCCAAAACACACATACAAGACCCCATTTCTGTGATCACACTTCGCACCCTGGATGCAACCTCAGTCTTTCGTTTACTCTTCGCGTTTCGAGTGATCCGGTATCTAGTGCTCGTGGTGAGGCTGGCGTGGGGATCTCTAAGTAATGGAGCTGAACATGTGCGGCTAGATTTGATCCCAGCAACAGACTGAAGCGTCGATACTTGTCCGTTCTGTCTGCGTATACGCTCACTGACTATAGTTCCTGTGAGATAAGGGATGAATTCTATCGGGATTTGTCCCGGCTGCTTCTTAGCGCGCTTTCAGCGGACGTGGTGGTTGTCACTGGGGATTTCAACGCTCAGATTGGCTGTTTGAGGGATTCCAAAGGCACACAGGGGGCCCATCTGCTCTCCCGGCCGATCGCACTGACAACGGCGTTTGCCGCGTTTAGCGGTGCTCTGACCACAGATTTTCTGGCGTGTACGAACTTCCCCCATGAGAAGTGAAGTAGACACATGTGACGTCCTCTACCTCTTCACAACGTTTGACTCAGATTGACCATATTGTGATTGGTTACCGCTGGCACGGATCAGTCGAAGATTGTCGGTCATTTTGGCTTACGTTTTGGTACATGCTCGCTTCTGCTTACGTCTCGTCCATGGTCACACCAACGTTAAAGCCAGCCGTTTCACACTATTACTTCAAGACGATAACCGGCCATCTGATTTCCAGGCAGAACTGTATACACGGTTATCTATGCAGCCGGATTTCCAGGACCCGAGCGAACGCTGGCAACAGTTCAAGGAAGCCTCGCACACCACTTCCAGTGCCACATAAAACTCCGGTTCAAATAAGCCTCACAATCGATGGATGTCTTCGACG